AGGCTTCTGTTAACCTACAGAGTAAAGGGTTCTCCGTATAACCTCGGATAAAAGCTTCTGTATACCCACAGAGTAAGGGGATCTCCGTATAACCTCGGATTAAGGCTTCTGTAATAGCCACAGAGTAAGGTGTAGTGAATGACAGTGTCAATTCAGGTAGTATCTGAGACAAAAGAGGATGTGTAACTACTAGGGAAGTGAGCTGTATTTATACCTTTGGGCAGAGTCATGCTGAGTCATCATGAGTCAGTATGACTCTCCAAAGTTTGAATTGTTTGTTCAATTGTTCTGAATTGCACAGTCAATGCACAGTCAAGAACAATTGAAATGAGTCATTCCAAGTCAAGAGTTTATTACTAAACTCTATTGTTCCTGCATGCACAGTCAAATGCACAGTTTGCACAGTCAATGCACAGTCAATGCACAGTTTGCACAGTAATGCACAGTTGATGCACAGTATGCATAGTTGATGCACAGCTATGCACAGTCATGCACAGTTAATGCACAGTCAATGCACAGTCATGCACAGTTGATGCACAGTATGCACAGTTGATGCACAGTCATGCACAGTTGATGCACAGTCAGAAACAATTATGGTGAGTCATTCTAAGTCAGATGTTAGAATGAATCACAAAAAGACTATTGTTCTGGATTGCAGAGTCAATAACACTGTGATCACAGCATGTTCAATGCATTTCGGAAAATTGATATGATCAATGATGTGATCAAAGTGATACAAACAATAAATAAGCACTTTTTCCCAAAAAGGAAATATTTAAGTACATTGAGGCTCCAATATAAATAGATTCCATCACATAAGCCCTTGAGCTCGAGGCACTTACGGTACGGGACGGCGCCGTCACGCCGTATTACGGTGATGGTGACGGCCAGCTAGGTCACTGGGTGTGACCTAGGCTAAAGGTGCCTCCGAGCGACCGGGCTGGGACGGGTGGCAGTGCCAAGCGCCCGCCTGGAGTGCTAGGCTGCCTCGGAGGCTAGCCAGGCCGTGTTGGCTGACCACCGACAGCGGCTGGGCCCTAGCAACGGGCATCCGGAGGTCTGATACCCGGCGGATCGACGATCTCCGGATCAAATCGCGCGCTAGCCGAGCCTTCGCCGTATACGGCAACCGTCACCGTATACGGGACGGTCATTATGGCGTCCACGGCCGTCCCGTCGCCGGCCCGTACACTTGGGCACCAGGGTGCCATACGGTACGGTTACAGCGCCGTATTACGGCGTGCCATACACCGTAATATACGGCGACGGCCTACAGCCCTAATCGCTCCGCTGTATACGGAACTAGGAGTCTATCCGCTGTCAGTGCGGCGGGCCGAACTGGCACTGCGTTACCTCCAGTATCTGGTCTCACTTCCCACCTCTCATCTTGACTTGATGAAGCAGATCATTTGCAGCGCAAGGGTTGCCCTTCGTGGACAGGGGATCTGGCGGTCGTGCTGCAGCAGATGCCATTTACCATGCGCCGATTACCGTGCGTGGCTCATCTTGATGTTGCAACCTGCTCGGCATTGATCCTAGAGCTCCGACAAGGCGTACGGGCACATCTGGATGCGGAGATTAATGTGATGGTGTCCATCCCATTGCTGCACAATCGCCGCAAGCCCTCTAAGGACAAGCCGCCTAAGGCTGTTCCACTATGCCGGTGTCACTATCTTACGTGAGTGGCCCATACGAAGCATCGTCTGGCTCTCACGAGGCTCTTGTGCGGCTCCTTTGGATTTCGTGGTCTGCATTTAAATGTGGAAGAGCATGCTCTGGAATCTGTTCTATGTCGAAAGTGTATGGGGGCACTGGAGACACGTGCACCGGGGGCATGTTTTCCTGCAATGTAGAGCACGGGAGACGGTGGAGCTGCGCATAGAGCTGCATGAGGAGTTACGCGACCGCTTCGGGGTGGTACTTGGCCCGATACCTGACTCGCGGGCTGGTGCAGAGCGCCGGATGCAGGAGCTGATTTTTCACTGGGAGTTGGTAGTGCCAATGGCGCGTTTCATCTATCAAGTGTGTCGGTCGTGGCAATTCTTTGGCCGCAAGCTGCCTTCGATGATGATATCAGAGTTGGCGCCGGCAAGTGACGACGAGGCTGCGCAGTCTAGCGACGAGGATTTGGTAGGTGAGGATGACTAGTGTGGGGCCGGTGGTTGTGGAATTCTGGGTCAAACTGTGATGGTTACTTATCATTGGCTGTGTCTTGGCTTCGGACTCTCAGGCTGTATTTACTTGAATGGACAATGTCTCTTGCTGGTATTTTACTGGGTTTCTCTGGACCGGTTTTTACTACTCGGATACCACTGGCATACTTATACTTATAGTTCTCCAGTGGGCAATGGGCCGACGTACTCGTAGGAGGGTGCAGTTCCCCCCCACTCATTGGATGAGCTGCCCGGCACTCAGTTTTGAGGCCGTATGGGCTTTATTATTATTATTATTATTATCGCTGGAGCGACCCAGCTTTCTTTGGGATTTTGACGAGGATCAAGAGCTTGTTTTCAATGATGTGCTTCCCAACTTCCCCTTCCTCGAATTGCTTTTCGTGTATGAGACAAAATCACTCCATGCTGTCTCCATCTTTGAAGCAGCTCCCAAACTGACTAGTGTTGCATTCTCCTCAATGCCTCCAAAGCTTCCCTGGCGTCAATTGCGTCATTTGGCATGCAATTTCATGACCCACGTCGAGTTTGGTCCGGCTTCTCGTATAGATATGGTCAAGTGTTTTGATATACTAGCCAACCTTTCTGAACAGTGCAGCGTCGTCTACCGGGGCATTCCCATCACCAGGCTTCATGGTCTGTGCACTGTTTCCGCACTACCCGCACATCTCCGTCTAGGCCTCTCGCGCGAGACCGAAGATCTGGAAACCGCGACGAGGGCTGTGGAGGAACTCCTCGACCATCTCGAGCTTCCACGCCTACAAACTCTTCACATCGAGTTGTCTTCAGGCTCCATCTTTGAGGCGGTGAACTTCATTCCTTGGCCTCGCGCCTCATTTGTCTCCTTCGCGCACAAGTCCACTGCCTTGTCTACACTCCTCCTCCAAGACGTGCTGCTATCACTCAAAGATCTTCTCGCATGTCTTACCTAGGGCTCCCAGCCGTACCCGTAAATTTACGGGTATACAGCACCGTAAGTATGGTACGGGACCCGTACTGTAGTTGGGCCCAGCGCTCGGTCCGACGGTACGGGCACGCCCCGCCTCCGACGACTTTTTGTCCAGGACCTCAATCGTCGCAACACAACCCGGATCCAAGAAGGCGACGACGATAATCGTGTCATCTTAACCGACCATGTTCTCATCACAAGCACCTTTTTCGTCGAATTAGCCAACAAAGATCTGCTGCAGGATCTCGAAGAACTCTTGCTCGCCGCGTTCTTCTTGCCCACAGATGTCGATGTCGACTCCTTGTGTCAATTTTGGACAGGCCGAGCTAACGGCTCCTTCAAGTTCATCCTCTCATTCCTCGAGCTCTATGGAGTCCTGAGAGAGGACAGACACAACCCTTCACAACAAGTGACAGACTTGTTCAAGGTCCTGGAGCCGGGCATCCGAGACCGAATCGAGCTGAAACAGCTGAATAAGCACGAATTAAATGAGTGAGTGGGACTATTTTCCCGGGATGTGCATTTCGTTAACGAGTTCAAGATATCTGATCACCTGTACACAGAGTTTTCTTTAAAAAAGCCTTCTCATTACCAGTGTGAATGTTTTTAAAAAATGCCTCTAATTTATGCCCCTGCCAAAAGGCAGGTTTTATATAGGGAAATGAGGAGATCGACAGTCTTGCTATCAACTCTCCACATACTCTATGGAGACTGCTAGCTTGAAGGATAGCTATAGCTAGCTTGTCAGACTGTCTAAGGCTGTACTGGTAAGAACAACTGTAGCTGCATTGTCAAGCCAGCATAGGTTGCTTGTGTTTTCTAGCTATAGGTGGTCTTGAAGGGCAGCTATAGTTGTTTTGAAATGTTGCTGTAGATGCTTTACGGAGCTGGAGGGGGCTGGCACTCAAATTCATGCTATATCTATACTGCCAGCCACCTATCCCACTGCTTCTTGGTGTAGTGGTATCATTGGTATGTTCTCAATCTTGTGTCTCTTCTTTTATACAGGCTCTTATCTTATGTAAGTACTGTGGAGATTTGTTTTCTTACTTTTTCGGGGTCTTCTTTTAAGAAAAAGAATCCTTCCACACACCAGCCTTCTGTTATTCATATATTCCTATCTGAATTCATTTCTTGCATAGAAAAATTTTCATAAAGGGATTTTTTCCCTCACAGATCAGAGAACTCTTCAAAGCAGCTACAGCTGCTCTCAGTCACAGAAGGCAGCCCAAGTTAAGTTATCAAGTCAGCAACAGATGTTTTACCAAAGCAGCCCAGGCTATCTTCAGGATGCAACACTAGATTTACCTCTGTACATGCCTGTAGATATGTTCTCAAACAGCTAGTGATGCTGTAGAAAGCATCTGTGGTCATACTCAGAAAGCAGCAGACTCTATGGAGAGCTCTCCATGGAGAGTTGATAGCAAGACTAGCTATCTGGAAATGAGAGATCAAAAAAAGGTTTAAAAAGTTGAAAGGCCATGTCAGGGTGGGCAGTGTGGTAGCTATAAGGCCCCAGACCTGACATGTGGAAAATTCCTTAAGTATGGGGAAAATACTGAGTAGGGGAAAGGCCAAAAAAGATGAAAAAAAATGTTGATGGCAAGGTGCCAAGAAAAATACGGAGTTTGACAGCGTGGATTTTATTAAAATGAGAGGACAACTTGTAAATCACTGATGTTTTTTAAAAATGTTAATATTCTAATTACAAGGGATCTTTTTAAAAAAAACCCCGTATACGCCTGATCTGATAGCTGGAATCTCATGAACAGACAATTTGGAATTGAGCTGCTCTGTTTAACAATTACCTTTAACTAATGCTACCACTGTCCGGATTCATCGCTAATTTCCATGATCATGCTGCAGGGTATAACATATGTCTAAGCGGAGTCGCCCTTCCCCCGCTGCACCGAATCCAGCTCAATCGACCCTCCGGATGCAGTCGCATGTGACACCGTGAATGGCGCGTCAGCATCAAACTAGCGACAGTTAGAGCTAAAGTACAACACACGAAATGCGATACGCACGGTTGATAGTGGCTCGCCAGAGCCTGACAGGTTCCCAGAACGCGCCTGGCGCAGTACTGTCCGCGAGTTGAGGCTAGGGCGGAATTGTCACTTTCAGTGGTGGCATGATAGAATAAAGACCTTGCGAAGAGAGAATTTGCGAACACTAGGCAACATCAGCCACGGACGCAGACAAGCAATAATGGAGCATACGGCGCGCTTCAATGGTAAACATCGCGATCCACACAACTGCGAGCACAGATCAGCGTTAGGAACAGAGCTGGGATTGACGCGTCCTACAGTTGTTGGACATAAGATGGAACTGCGAGTGTATGAGGACGACTGAATGCGTTGGGCCAAGAGCACTTACACAGACGAGCATTGCCAGCGAAAATGTACTGAAAGCGTCAAGACGGCCATATGTCGGCGTGAATTCGTGCATACCTTGTCAAGAGTCCAGTTTCTACAGCCATTAGACTAGCTCAGGCCCAACGAGACACTTACCGATGGTCCACATAATGATCTTGTCGAGTAAAATAGCCGTTCTGAGGGGCTCTGAGCAGACTTCAAGTGACCAATGACAACTTACTGCCCAGTGGTGCTGTCTTGAGCTCGCTGTCTCCACAACAGGAAAACGAGGGTCGCGGTGATGAGTACGTCTTCTGCAGCGCTCAGACTCCAGATCGCGAGCGCCAGTTTGTCCCATTTCGCAACATACTCGCTCAGGGAAGCAATCCGGAAGCCGACGCCGAAAATCGTCATTCCAAGGGCAAAACGCGCCACAGAGAGGAGGGTAGCGAGGCTGGGGATGACCAGGGAGGAGGAGAGAACGTAGATGCGGTAGGAGAAGAAGAGCTGGACTGCGAAAGAAATTGTGAATCCTTCAAAATCTCGAAAAGTTGTCGGTCGCACCGTAAACCGCAATGACCACAGTCAGGAAAATAAATCCGAGCACTGACGGCGGTGGGCGCTCCATTAAGCGTTCAGGATGGCCATAGTCCGTTACGAGCCAGGAATAGAGAGTATGCATGACGCAAGTTATATGAGCAGTTTCGCATAGACTAGACGAGGAAGATTGAGCATGAGTAGCATGAAAAGATCGATGTAGCGCACCAGACAAATGCAACCGTGGCTTTTATAGCCAGCCTGTCTTCAGGGAATCGCGAGTAGTACCCGTAAACCTGGACGGCGCCAATGCCCCAGAGAATGCATGAGATCAGCGTCCCAATCAACAGAGCACCTCCAGAAAGTCAGCAAGGATTGCGAGCAGCGAGCAAGCCACGAAGATACCGAGCGTAGGGCCCGCATCGAAAGCCGGGGTGGTCATGCAAAGACCATGAAGAAGTCGGGAAGGAAAAGTCGGCGGTGTGGAAAATACGGCAGCTCCGTGGAGTTGCTGTGGAGTCAAGACCGCCTAATGATTGCCGTCGCTTGCGACTGAGTTTCTTGTTGCAATGTCGCTTGTGACGGCGGCTTGTCGACTGTCCGCAAGTTTTGCGGCCGCGGGCTCTCTCGTTGAAGTTGTTCATTCAAAAACAGTGAGTTCTCAATCGGATTGAAATCAAACCTCAGGGCCGTTAGGTCATATGATGACGGATCTCTGGGCAAACTGTAAGTCTATCTGAACAGCCCAAGAACAACCAGAGGCCAAGCATCCAAGGCACGGTCAAGAAGCAACCTCACCGTTCTCCGATTCGGCAAGAGATTTGCCCGACTTTCGATTCTCGCGAACGGGTCGCCAGTTGCCTTATTTGGATTGTTTTCTCCTCCCACGACAGGCGCCGAGAGGGTTCAATAGCCAGGGCTTTCGAGGAAGGTTACAATAGAGACCAGTAGCATAGATTATCGTGACGGTGCGACAAGTAGTACCTAAGGAAAAGGACGGCATGCGGAAGAGCGCGAGGTGGATTGATTTCGCGTCGCTGTTCAATGGCGCACCCGGACTTGGGCAGTCTTGCTCAAGGTTGCTGGCTGTCACGAGGGCCACCCTATAACGGGGCTCGATTGAGACTCGGAAGTCGACCGATTTGTAAGAGAAGGGACGGTGGAGTTGGATGAGGCGAAACGCAACGCTCTGTCTCAAAACGTTCGAGATCTTGGAGTTTGTTACTGTCCATCGTCGTCGACCACTATAGCCCGTGTTGGGGCTTATCGGCAACTCTTCTCCCAATGTCATCCTCGTGGAGCTCAAATCCCAGGAGAAAAATTAGGGGAGATTTGCGTGAAGCGCATGGTGGTGGTGTCTTTTGCTCCATCACCATTTGGCCCAATCCAATACCACTATGGTTGGAATAGATGAAGGAGGTGAACGAGGGAGGCTCCCAATGTCGTCATAACATAAACCGAAAGGCGATATGGATGTGGACGGTGACGCGGTGTGGCGCTCCCTAGGTTTGTTTGGGCGTTACACTGAAGAAATGGCTCGAATGAGACGATCCACTGGCAGTCAAAGTCGTTATAACACAATACGCAACGCAATATATGCGAGTGGATTGTGCAAGCAAAGTGTGGCGCTTCGGAGGTCACGTCCCTCTGGTGCGGGTAGTACTGGAAAAAGGCCTAGGGTTAGAAGACATAGAAAGGACAGTTAGTGTCCGGTAACCTTCACTGGCATTCGTAGTGCAATTCAAGTTGAGGCGAATGGAGGAAGGGCAAAACGTCAGCAACGGTCCAGGACACCGTTTTTCTTGTCGGTTGCTGAGAGCGTTCTCGACGATTCGACAGACATCGCATGGTCAGCATAACAAGTGTTAGCTCTGACCTGCTCTGACGCGGCGCTGAGCAGAAACGCAAAGCTTTAGGAGAGGGAACGTCCGAGTTGTGGCTGAGAGAATGGTTATGGGTTCGGCACGATCCAGTATCATCTACGGGAGAGTCAGGTTTGTCTGATACGGGGGCAAGATTCGGTGCACGCACCATGCATGAATCAATCCAACCCCCGGGTTTGTCACGGTGGTGTATTCTCCTGGCTCCTCTGGGTCATTCCAATGCCTCAAGTATTAGGCTACTAGTATTGTTCGGCATAGTAATGAGCTCTGACTGGACATCGAAGGCATACTGCCAGTGGCGACAGAACGCGATGATCAGAGGTGTTGAAAGCAAATCTTAGCAAAACTTGAAGGTCACATCTTAGTAAGTCAAATTTCTGTCTCATGTTTGTTACAGCCTCTATTTCTGGTTGACTGGAATTAAGCATTGTACATTTTTCCATGCTCTCCATCGTACTCAACGTCGGCTCTTCCTTAATCTTGGGCGAATTTCAAGTCATCCACTCTTCTCCCAAAACATGTCCACTTTGCAACACCACCGGCTTGGCACCTTCAAAAACAAGGCCGTGAACGGTTTCCAAACTCAACTTGATGAGCGGTACTTACCCAGCGCAATGAAGTACACTCGCGCCCATTCGCTGCTTTCATTTCTCCAGCTATGCATCGTCCCGCGCTGGACAACGGTGTCGCCTTCCTGCAGCGTCACCCGCCGGCCGTCTTCCATGACAAGCACAACTGAGCCCTTCACCACAATGCCATAGTCGAGCGATTGGGTGCGGTGGACAGGCTAAAGCTGCATTAGCTCCTCAGCAAAACACAAACAGGACCACGCCCACCGAAACTGAGCCTGGCGCGAAATCGCACGCTCTAAACAAGACCCCCGCCTTGCTATACACCTCCGCTGTGTGATTATGTACCTCGTCCACCCACTTTCCGTCCCCACTGTGGAGCTCAGAGTCAACAGCCGCAGGAACGCTGGCAGCATAATGGAGGTCGTATTTTGGGTTTTCGCTGGCGAAGCCACCCCAGCCTGTTGGGGGCTGGAAACTGTCGGAGAGGACCGTTGACTGGCCCTGGGAGGTGTGGCCTGTGACGATTCGTCGAACAGTAGGCAAAGGGGAGGCCATGAGTGCAGTGAGGGCATTGATAGATTCCCGTAGTACGCGTCACCACCTTTTATCGTAGCTGACGCGTCCCGCTAAATAAGTTATCTACAGCCTGATATATTAATAAGCCCCTGCAAACTTGATTGAAACAAACAACCTCAAAGTCGAAGAATAGACCATCACTACTTAAGCCAACCCATAGTATAAAGTAACCTTGGCCGATGCCACCTCATTACGCCAGAGGTGAAACTGAGCGTTATCGTCAACACTATGAATGATAAAGAGGATTGAAACCTTACCGCCGCGCGCGCAAAGAGCGCAATTCGGTCGCCTGGCTGCATAGCCTTGACAAAGCCCTCGCCATCTCCCGCCCCATTCCCAGTTGTCCCGCCTTGCTCCGTCCACCGCACGGTACGTGTGTTAAGCTCCCTGGCCGTGGCCAGATTCATCTGCACGAGCCACCGCGTTGCGGAGGAGAAGTTGACGCCCTCGAATTTAAGCACGTTGACGTTATTGTGCTGTACTTCGAGCACGGCGCTATATCCAACAGAAGGCTGGGAAATGACCTCCAACGTTTCAGGAGCACGTTGCGCCATCCGTTCGAGGATCGCTGTCGAGTTCGGAACTTGGGATGGGCGTAAAATCGCTGTTTCGTGCCAGGTAGATCCGTCATAAGTGTCTAAAAGTGCGTGATTGGCAATAAGTAGCTCACGAAGAGGAAACTCACTAATTAGGTCCTGGTCGCTGCACCACCCCTGGTCGCGACTCTTCACGGAGAACTCCACCGCCCGGGGCTTAAGCCTAAGCATAGCATGGCTTGTCGGCAGGAGCTCAAGGACCGGTGGGGTAAGCAGGTATAGGTCCGTCGCATTAAGCCGGGGCGACCGAGAAGCCTCCACCGTGCGTGACTGCGTGCAGTCCGTGGTCGAAAATGCTGCCCAATACTCGCCAAAATCGAGTACAATGAAAGCTAGTTCTGGCGGGAGGAAAGCATGCAGGATTCCTTGCACAGCGAAAATGTCGTCGAGTGTGGGTGTGAAAGGGGTTGGTATATCACTGCTCATGGTGGTGAGAGCAAAGGACGACATCCTGAGAAAGCAGACAATTCCTGCACGCGGCGAACACGAGGACTTGTGTTTTATGTCAGCCCACTCTAATTGCTGGTCTTGAACGCTGCCAACGGGTATTCAAGCTGCCGCGCACGCATATGTCCTAAAATCCATAATTGAAGAGACGGCATCATGCCCCAAGTCTGGTCCAAGAGGCAAGCTATGTTGTTGAGTTCATATGAGTATGCGACCCAGGCTTGGAATGGCCTATTACATTGCGTTCGAGCCTCGAATCTGTCGGCGGATGGAGGGCGGCGATCACGAAACAGCCGTATTAGCCGTAATAACTCGTCTCATGCAGGCGTCGATGTTGGGAAGAGACATGAAAGGAAGAGAATCCGGAAACTTATATCCCATTTGTGTGAACGAGCGCGAGTCAAAGAATGGGTCCATTGAGTGTCATAAAGCTTCGCTACGCCAACCCGTAGTACAAAGTGACTTTGGCCGATTCCACCTCGTTATGCCAGCCATAGAACTTGACATTCTGGTCAGCCCTGCAGAGATCTTGATAGAAAAGGGTTGCATGCGTACCACTGCACGCATGAACAGCGCAATCTGGTCGCCAGGCTGCAGCGCTTCGACAAAACCCTCGCCAGTTCCCGCCCCATCTGCAGTAAGACCCCTTTGCTCTGTCCATCGCACAGTATGGGTTTTGAGCATCAATGCGGCGACCAAATTCTTCTGGACCAGCCACCGCGTTTCTGAGGAGAAGTCGGTACAAGGGTTATCGTGCTTCACTTCCAGCTCAGAGCAATATCCAATGGCAGGGTCAGAGATGGTCTCCAATCGCTCGGGAACACGCTGCGCCACGCGTTCGAGAATGGGGATTGAGTCAGTGACTTGCGACGGCCTCACAATTGCTGCTTCGTGCCACGTTGACCCGTTATAAGTGTCTAGTGATCGGTGAGGGCGAAGGAACTAGGTTATAAAGGCAACTCACTGACGATGTCGGTGTCGCTGCACCACCCCTGGTCCCGACTCTTCACGGTAAACTCCACCGCTCGGAGTTTCAGCATCACGGTGCCCTCCTTCACGTTCCCTGCTTCGTGTGATTTGAGTGCCTCTGGCTCGAGAAGCGGCGGGGCAAGCAGGTATAGGCTTGTCGCATCGAGCTGAGGCGACTGGAGAGCCTCGGCAATGTGTGACTCCGTCCGTTCCGTGGTCGACAACGGGGCCCAGTATTCGGCAAAATCGAGCACAATGAAAGCCAATTCTGGTGGGAGGAAGGCATGTAGGATTGCTTGAACGGCGAAAACATCGCTGAGGGTGGGCGCAAAAGAGGACACATCGCCGCTCATGGTGGGCGAAAGCCAAGGAGGACGTCATAACAACGGCGTTGTTTACATGCTTGTGAAAAAATGTGCTAGCGTTTCATCACGTAGGACCAATAAGATCGTGCTTAAACCAGGCATACCCATTTGTAGGTGCTTGAGGAAAGGGGCCTTGACGTTAGCACGTATGTACTTGGACAAGCAAGAAATTACTTAGAAGCTATGCACACAGTTCAAGTTTTGATTTTTGAGAGCCACACTCTGACCCTTAGTAGTCCGAGACGAAGAATGAACAAGCATTCTTTTGAATCTTTTCTACCAGTTTGTCAGTGTGAATCAGACCTTGAACTCGAAGTAGACGGACATGCGAACTCGCGATTGAAGTCGATTGAAGTTGAATATAACACATGGCGTATGCTACACTAGGGAGTCCAGTTCTCGTTCAAGTACAAGAAATTCAAGAGGGTGCTACGGTAGTTAGCAGCAGGTAAAATACCGGGACTCGGTAGAGGGCTCGAAGGTATAAACCAAGGTTCTAAGCTGCATTGGAGCTATACCGCGCCAAGAGATGCGTATAGGTGTCGGAAATCTGGGACCAGAAGTGGGTAATTTTCTTTTCATATAGTCGGACTGACCTTCTCCGCCCGCTCTTCGCCGCCAGGGACAAACTTGCACAGGAGGGTGGCTGTTTCGAACCAGCGTTTTGCTTCGTCCAGCATCGATGCCCTGGACGAGCGGAGTTAGAGCAGCAACGTAACGCAACCGTTTGAAACTCACTCGAGACATTCAAAGCCCGTGTTGTACGCCGTCCCGAGGAGCCAGTTCCGCTCGTCGACCGGATACGCCTATATGGAGCTCATTTTCGAAGTAAGCACGGCCGAACAGACGCAAACCTGGTCATCTTGGTGGTGGTCTGCGATGACGGCGACGGCTTGCTCAACAAACCCAATCGCTTTCACGCGATCTTGCGAGGAGTTCCGCGCGAGCATTATGGTGCACACGGCGCGCAGCCACCGGGAGAACTTTTCGACCGACAGAGAGCTGTGATCAAGACTTGCACGGAGAATAGCCTTGGGTAGCATTAGCAATAGCTAAAGAAAGCCATAATGCTAACCTCCAGTCCAACAAGAAGAACTAAAGAACTTCAGATTAACTGTCAGACTGTGCAAAAATCAAGCGCACCGTCAATTGGGCAATCAGATTCGGCCCACTGTCATGATTATCAGTTAGATTCGTGACAAAAAACGCAAAATACCAAGATGTCTGCGATTGCTTCATAAGTCCCAACAGCAAGCGGGCCAGAATCGACAACATCCTGACACGATTAGAGCGACATTGCGAACAAATTAGGAGTCACCGACGACAACAATGCGAGATAGATGTTGCCATTCCTTCAACTGAGCCCAAATCTCCGCCTCGAACACACGGAGAACGTGGAGAAAATATTCAGCGCGGGTGATGTCTTGCCGCTCAGTCAAGAGGTTCTTGTTGACGATCGCTGAGATGGATGTCTTGGCAGCTGAAACTCGAGCCCCATTCTCGCGGAGACGGTTAGCCTGGATAGAGTTTGACTTGTGAGGTTAAGGAGGGAAGGTGTTACAAACATCGATGGTGCCGTCGGTGGCGGATAAACGAGCGGCAAAGACTTGACAGGAATGAGTAAGGATGGAAAGAGTGACTGAGATCACGCACCACGGCCAGACACACCGGAGAAAGTCGCGTTGATGAGATGCATGTGAACGTCAGCGGGAACATCCAATGCTGCCTCACAATACGTTGTCAGAAGATCTCTGGCAACTTCGAAGAGCTCCGACACCCGCTCGTCGTTGCCCTCCTCCCATTCGGCACAACATTGGACCGCGCAGTTGTAAGCCATCCGCCATAACCACGAGACATCCTTGATGACGAGCGAAATTGCCTTTTCCGTCAATGCGTCTTGAGCGAGAACTCTGGCTTGATAGATGTGAGATCGAATGAGAGTCTCGGTGGGAAATAACACACCCGTTTGGAAGTGGGATATTAAGGTTTCGATGAGGCGTGGTCTGTCAGACCGAGGTTAGTCTCATCGATAACAGACCGCCGCGGAAACACCACTGACTTGTTTGCAGTTGGCTCGGCCAACAGCTTCCCAACCAGCCGTATGATACATCGGACTAGCGCCATCGCCTCCACCACCGTCTCGCCACCATTGTTCTTCTCGACCTTGAGTGTTTTCAGCAGCGCCTCGAGGACTGTTATTAGCACCGTCTTCATTTCGGATTCATGCGAGATCTGCGTCGCGAGTAATAGCATCTTGCGATCAAAGTCCACAGCTTTGACCATTTCGCGAACAGCCCGAATGGCTTACGGTAGGTAATTCGTCAATGTAATGACAAACCTAAGTCAAAGCCACACCTTCATCTTCCAACCCTGGACGAAGTCAATAAGCCTTCTGCGGGAAAAATATTTAAAAACGATACCCTGATGAACTGCCGCAATGAACAGCACGTATTGTGTCGATGCTTCGGCATGACCAAGACCCACCGGACATTTGCGGATGACTGCAGCTGCCCTGGCATATTCCTTGTGCTCGATGTGACAGAGTGCTGCCTTGCGAAAGCATTTTGCCGCGCTTGCTGGACATGCTGTTTGGAAGAGCGCGTGGGTGCCAATGAGAAACCAATCCGCGGCAGGACCAAACCGCTTAGCGGCAAAGTGTCGGTCGCCGTATTGCCAGAGGAGCTGGGGTAACAGCTCAAAAACGGGTCGAAGCTAGCTAAATTTACGTACCGTAAGGCATGCCGTTGATGGAACATCGAGAAGCTTAAAATCGGTTGCATGCGCGGCTAGGCACTGTGAGAGCGGAAGTAACGTGCTATTCGGAGGCATTACTCGTTAGCACAGACTCCATAGTCTCCATTGCTCGTTGATGATCTTCGTCCTTAGAACAGTGCACGATCAATGACAGAAGTAAGCGATTAACACCCTCGGTGGTATCATCCCATCGCAGGGCTTCTTGTAAGCAGTAAAGATGGACTTGCGCAACTATAACACTTCCACAGGTTCAGGACGAGTGAGTAAGTGTCGCAAAACTAACTGACTGATGATGATGGTGGTTTAAGGTTCGAAGATCTTGCAAAATACTAAGGAGGAAGCCCAAATCGCACCATGATAACAACGAAGGAGGAAGGAACTTACTCGGTAATATTAGACTCGGAAAACGTCATATGGTCAATAATGGATTTGAAGGCTAAGGAAACTAGTCGATCCAAGGATAGGGCGGACACAAGTGGAAGAACAAACCGTCCAACAGGGTTGTGCCGCTTGCTTTGCGCTTTTTGACGACGGCTAATCGAAGCCATCTCAGCTCTTGATGCTCTGAACGACCCTGTAACTAAACTAAGTACCGAGATTATCACATAACTGCTACTCACACTCCGAGAGTCTGCCAGCGCATCGACAGCCGGGATGAGTTCATCGAGCACGGCCTCAGCTCGGTCGTACGATCCAGTAATGAAGTAAGCCCTTGCTGCAAACCGTTAGTCACGTCCTGATTAGTTGGCGCGCACCCATGGTCCGGAGGATGGCGATCTGTGAAATGCATTAGAAATCAAATGACGGACGAAGCGAAAACGTGCCCTGAGTGAGGCCTTCGATCCACTCGTTTCTTCTGCACCTATTCTCTCAGCTATCGAGAAGGCTTTCTGGAGCCAAGCCACTGCGTCAACAGCCCCCGAATCGTCTCCATCGCCGCCAACACTACCAATGTGAGTCTTCAATACCGCTTTGCCGATTTCGTGGAATTTGCATGCTAAACGTTCTTGCTATCGTTCTAGTCAGAATGAAGATGTAATACCATCGTTCTGCCCACGCTCACATCGGGAGACGGAAGTACCGACAGCCGCTGTTCGTCATCTGTTGGGCAGTCAGCATTCGTGGCTTCCGCTTACTCTGCCTTTTACCCGTGATCTTCTGCGCCATGAACGACGCCACACTCTGGTTTCCCTCCTTCCAAGCCTGGATGGAGTAACATGTGAACGACATTGATAATGGTTTTGCTTCAGACACTCACCGCTTCCATCCTAGCTGCAAGGTACACTAATGTTGCGCAGACGCGGTCGACATGGTGAGTGCTGTCAGGGTCTTCTGCATTTCGAAGGAGTTCTTCGTACTGCAACATAGGACGATGAATCAGAACAGCATGGCCAGAAGAGGAAAGGCTCACCCGCGCCGCACTCGAAAGCACACTTCCAGCAACCTCCCCGCTTCCCGCTTCTGTGAGGCCTGTTCATTTCCTGTCCACGACGGGCAGCTGCCGTACCTGATAGGGTCGAGCCGGTCTTGCTGGCCAATTGGAGAATATGAATTAGGCCTAAGAAAGATTAGAATGGTTGAACGCTCGGACGCAGACACACTTTCGATTCCCGGCTTCAACTCCAGGCCAGCCTCAATCAAGCGGAAACCTGCTAGCCGCACTGCAAGAGGATGTCAGCGCGAGTGGAAGTAACTCGGGACATACACGCAGCCACTAAGCTCATTCTCCCACTCCCACTCCCCGTCGATGTGGGTGATTTCTGGACTAAACCGGAGATATTCCAAAGATTGACGCCTGTGAGGAATATGTGAGTACTTTGCCTGATTCTGCAGCTTATAGCACACGCACCTTCCTGGTCAAGCTCATCTGCTAAGTGGATCCACCCGGACGCATTACGCCCTCGTTGTTCCGCGAAAGATTCGGCCAGGGAAGCTATTTGGCGGAGGTTTTCGATAAGCATCGGCTGCGCGGCTGAGTCGGCATTGTCAATGCGAGGCTTCGTGGCTATAAGGAGATCTAGTAGACAAGTTTTACTTGCTGAGCATGACGAAGCTTGGCCAATGAACGAACCTCTAATTGAGTCGAAAGCCTGCTGTAAACTGGGACCGCTCTTCTTTTTGCGGGATGCCATGGTCGAAGAGGCAAGTTGGCAGCGCGGGCTTGCCCCGAAGAATAGCCTGCGATGACGGAGCAAACGATGACCTGAAAGTGTGACTGATCGCGTTTATGTCACAATGACTTTTCGACCAAACAACGGTGTTTCTTGTGTCTGCCTCTCAAGACCGTACTATCCACCATGGCACATTCTTCAAGCTTTCACTCCCATAACTGCTACTATTGGTGTCCTTGTGAACTCTGTCGAGTTCGACATATCCTCAGAATCTTCCACTTGCTATTTCGCTATGTCTCCGTCGACACTCGCTCCCCCTTCGTCGTTATCACCGCCTTGTTTCCTATCCTCTCCGAGAATCTGGGAATTCCTGTCGTCTTCGCGTTCTTTCCCCAGTGCAGTGAACAGCAAATTTTGCAGCCTGGAGTCGGACCGAGGATCGGATCACAATCGAGTTGACGACCTCGGAAGTGGTTCCAAGGGCCGCTGACGAAATTCCAGCTGATTCAGACAAATGTCAAATGAAAGCGGATGCAAACCCCGAGCGCTTATCTGTCCTCAATGAATGGAACAGGATCGTGAAGCCGACTTGGTATGAATGAGAATTAATCGTGATAGGGATGACACGGGGGAAATAGGCCCAAGGTTTGAGAGTCTTGACCTACTTACTTGAAGTTACTTCCCAACTGATTGCCAATAGCAACTTGATTCCACCATGGCTTTGCGTGTGGGCGATCTGCTAACATGTGCAGGACTGCCCGTTGACTGATTATTGAGCCTGGTAATAGGATGCGAGCCGGCCCACCGAAAGGGAAGCGATGGAGTCGATGCTCCAACTGAGTACAATCCGCTTAGTTAGCTTTGGAAGCCACAGTGAGCGGCCGCCGTACCAGAAGAGTAAGTATCTACCCTCCACCAGGTTTTCCATCGCTTGATGTTTATTCTTGCATTCAACAGCGAGCTACAACCTGAGGTCGAGAGATTCAGCGAAGCGAAAGACGTCCACCAACGAAGTTTGAGCGAGCATTAGGTGAGTTGGATGACGCGCCGAAACTACTTCCAGAACTGAGCTGGCTCGGTTCTCGGCAACTCTATGGTGCCTTACCCCCATTCCGTCCGACATCCTACACGCCGTCCACGCACGTCACCTTGTCAACGCAGAACATCAAGATTCCAAGCCTCCCCCTTCTTGTCGTTCGCCTTCACCTCCCCTAATCCGGCCGACAATTCACGGATGTCTTCATCCACCCGTCGTCTACGTTATAAGTAACAAAACCAACACACTTTCATGACTCCAATGTTGCCCGTGGCCATGGCCAGCCCCCGGCGATCTTTAGACATTTCACATGGCCGCGACCACCACGAGCATCGTGCCAGAACCCGCCTTGCCAGCTCGACCACCTAAACCCTACTTCACTTATCGATTGCCATCGGTTTTGGTTTGATTCCCTGACACACCCCAAACGCTCAACATCTGGCGTGCCGCGTCCGGATGGCGTCCTGCTATCCGCACCTTTTCCGCATTCTATTTGAGCAAGGAGACAGGGAGCAGCCTCCATTCGACCAGATGATGCAATTCCCATCGTATCCGCTGAGACCCTAGCGCATCAGAGTAATCCACTCCGCAACAGAGCTAAGCCACATCTGCGAGGCGGTAATTGAAAACAGCAACAAAAAAGCATGACAATTGATTCGCACATGCCCAGACGACAAGTCGTCGGTCCGTCCCGACGTCGGGTATTGGTGGATGTGTGTCTGGTCAGCCTGGCCCTTATGCGCTGATAGGAATGGAGCGAGGGAGATGGCAGCCAAAGGGGAAAAATATGCGAGTGCCGAACAAATGGTGGAGGCTCCAGTCTCTCCTCCCGAGTCCGTGGCAGCGGTACCTCTGTTGGGCTCTAAGCAAATCACCCACCCAAATCACCCCTTCTCTCCACCATCGCCGCACTGTCAATGATCTCTGATTCCATCTTCCACCCAGAAAACGCGCCACAAATCCACTCCCTGCTGACTTGCATCCATCGTCCGGTCAGGATCCAGCGCAGACGAACAGTTAGTAAGTACGCTGATAGAGCATATGTATTTGTCTGCATCGCGGCATGGGCACGACGGAAGACTTGGACAAGACATCGCTCGACTGAATAACACCCTGATTCAGGTTTTCGGAGGATTCTTCGACATATCGGCCACGAGGCTCTCTAGCGTTAGCTGTTCCACCCTACTGCCTCCACCTTCTCCGGGCCGCGAAAACGAATACGAGCAGCCGCAGGTACGCGGACATCGAAACACGGACAGCCGTGGCGATATCCTGGCAAAGCGCCTGTGGCATCGTATGGCCCTGGGTGCTAGCCTTAACTCGCCTTCTTTCTCCTCATAGTCTCTTCTGAGGAGCATTCTTTCACACGTCTTTTACCATGGCCACACACAGCTTGTTCTTCTTGTCCAACAAAAAGGCATCTATTGGATCGATCTTCTGTTCTGTTCTGCTCTAACAACAAATTACCGGACTCGGCGTTATAAGTATACGCGTCGTCGGAAGGCTGAACTGATATGAAGCTATAGTAGTACTACTAGTATGCAAGTATGTGTGTGTGAAGAATGCCAAAAATGCCGAAGTCAAGGTTTGCAGTGTGCGTATGCGAGATGAGTTGCGTGGAGTATGAGGGATCACGAAAGGACAGCGATATGTACAAGTAAGGGCATGAGACATTCATGAGTCAATGGCGAATGCAAAAGATTAATATGTAGCTCAAAGGAAAAGAGTCAAGAGAAAAAAAAACAGCCTAATAGGCATAGGCATAGCCGCTTACACCGGGAGGCCCGGCGTTGGCAAAAACAGCTCGGCGGGGCTGGGGTTGATGTGTTTTGCGCGACTCAGGTGGAGGTAGTGAAGGAGGAGGTTGATATTGTGATTGCGCGGTGGTCGTCGGCCGAGTTTGAGACTGAGATTGTAACAGTCGATGCTGGCCAGACCACTTCTCCAAGTCCGCAAAATGAGGCAGAGCAACGCGGGGAGGCGTCCATCCCCCGCCCCCAGCGGAAACCTCGGCATACGTAGCTCGAGGCGGCGTCCACTCAGTTGGCTCGGCTCGCATTGGAACGGCCACAGGTCCTCGGACAGGCGAAGTTCGTGCGCTTTGTACCCCCCATCGATTAATTAACGCACTGCCTGCAAATGGATGCTGTGGCTGGGGAGCCGAAGGTAGTGGCAGCCAAGACGATACTGTTGACGTTGTCGTGGATATGGGGGCGGGGGCGTAGCGAAGACGCGCGCGACGGGCCTCTTCTCGGTAACGTTCAGGGTCACGGACGCGATCTCGCAGATCGGAAATAGCTTGAGGGTGGCCTCGAGCAACCGCAGTTGGTTGCTGGCGGTAAGCTTCTCGTCCGTCGTCTGACATAGCAGAGTCGTCGTCCGATGGGTCATTGTCGACAGGAGAATACCCAGAGGAGGAAGAGGCGTCTGACATGGGCGAGCAAGTCAGAGTGTAAAAGTACAAATCCTAAGACAATCGATATTAGCGTTATGGGCAATCGAAAGGAACAAGCATATGGCTCACCTGCGCAGTTGGGGCTTTAGCGCCGTCCGAGTAGTCCCAACGTGCCGCCAACGTTGATGGATATTGAGGTTGCGGCTCGTGTTGCCCATATCCAGTAGAAATTGAAGGAAGAGAATGCTGGACCTCACGAGGAGGGTACTGCACAGTCGTACTCGGCGAAGGGGCTACGTAGGCCGATGTCGAGACAAAAGGACTTGTACCCGGACTCGAGGTTGTCGCGCGTTCAATCGACGAAACGCCCCATTGGTTACTCCGCTCCCGACCGCGTTCAGCAACAACTGGTGAAGCTTGGAAACCGCCATAGCGCTCCGCAAACGCAGTCAGCCCCGCAGAACTGGCTGTTGTCGCGCCAGCATAAGAAACGGGTCGTTCCCGTAACCGCCTCCTGGGTGGGCTTGGCGTTGGATGCCTGCTTACGCTCCGACTGATTGGGTTCGCGTTGGTGGACAAGGACATGGCGCCAAAGCGCTCGAGGGGTGTAACAAGACTGACATTCGTTGTTGAAGTCGCCTTGGGTAGTGGTAAAGGGAAGGAATGGCCAGAAGATGCAGAAGCAGAGCTGGATGTGGAGGTCGAAGTTGCCTCGACTGGACTCCAGTGGTTGGCACCAGCGGAGCTTGCGTACGTAAAAGAAGTCGAGGTCGGTGTGGGTGTGGGGATAACCAAAGTGGGTGCTGGTCGTTGTGAGTGAGTATTCGTCAGAGGAGTGTTGTAGACGGTGGCAAAACCAGGATGATGCGGCCGAGAATGATACGATGGAGGGCTGAATGCTGCTTCGGCTCGTCTTTTACTGCCAACTTCCATCTCTCGCTCTCTTTCTAACCGTTCATCCACACATTCATCCACTCGCTCCTGAGATCGAGCCCGTGATCGTCCGCGGTCGTCATTGTCGAAATCCGAACTGGTCGCGTTGTCTTCGCTACCCCGTCTTTGAGAGTACAGCGGGGCTGAAGGGGATGGGCTGGAACTGCGGTCTCTCTTGACGCGAAGGTTGCTGTGGGCGCGACTGGGTGTTGCGTAGACCCAGCTTGAATAACTCGTCGTTGACGAGTTCGCAGACATTGCTGGTCGTCTAGGAGCAGAATATAACGAATGAGTTGGATGTTGCGGATGCAGTCGTCCGCCACGATGATGCATCGCATGTCGCCTAGGAAAAATTTGAGTCTTTGAAACTCAATGATATTCGGCAAGCGCTTACCGTCCTCTCTCCCTTTCACGCTCTCTTGCTCGAGCACCAACCAGACCCCGCAATAATCTCCCCCAATCCTCATACACTTTCCGGCTGACATACAACGCGTAGTCGCAGCCTGCGAGGAACTCGCGCTCCATCGTGTTGATTTGAGCTAATGGAATTGAGGAAACAGATGCCCAAGTGGCGTTCGTATACGTGTTGCTGGACTTGAATGAGAAACGAGCAGATAGAAGAACAATACTACGACTTACTCGTCAAGGAACTTGTTGGCCATCATTAGACCCGCGACACAAACGCGGAACTCGCTGCCGGCTTGGGCGGGTATTCCCCGATTTCGTTGTCGCAGTCGATGGATGAAATGGAGCGCAAGAACAATAGCAGACTGCGAGAGTTGGGTTGTCTCGAGCAGCTTCTGCGTGAATGCGACAAATGGCGGCGATGGCAAAAGTTGGAGGGGCGAGGGGGAAGGGGTCGAGCTCGTTGGCGAGGTTGGTGATGAAAGAGAGGGGGAAGATGGGCGCTTGCTGCTGGTGGGCGCGAACCACAGGTAGCATATCATCTCGCATGTCTTTTCCGCCACCAAGGCAGAGCTCTCGGGTCGCGTCCGCGCAACATGAAGCCAGTCGCGCGCCCAAGCATCTGTCTCCGTCTCCTTTGAGTCTGGCTTCGACTCAGCTGGCGGCTGTTCATCGCAGGACATCTCTTCTTCGTCGCTTTCGAAGTCGGGAACGGAAGTGGGCGCTAAGTGGTGTGAGGAAGGTGGGGGATAGGTGGTGTCAGACGGGAAATCTGCTTTTGCGCGGCTTGAAGAAGGTTGTGGATGTGGAATGGCCTCGTCGTCGTCGGGGGGAGTCACTAATCTTGTCTTGGTATGAAAACAAAGGAAACAAGACAGAGACGCACACAATTGAACCGAGTATGTAGTTGTCCTCCTTGTCGCTGGGACCCACAACCGTCTCGGCTCTACGGTGTCGGTCTGTGGAGGTGTCATCGGTCCAGCAGGGGTCCCCCAATGCGGCAAATGGTGGCTCTCCATCGTCGTAGTCATTCTACCCTCCTTTCTCTCCAAATCCCAGTCTCCGTCGTATTCGAGCCTGTCGTAATGGAGGTGTGTTGGCGTAGTAGTCGGAAGGTAAGAGGGGGAGGAGCAGAAGCACAAGCGGCGCAGAGTCTGACTCTACAGAAATGGCTGTCGGCTCTGCCCTTCGCGTTCATTATGATATTATAATGGCCACGCGTAAGGGCCAACTGAATTCCCAATCCGGCAGTGTGTGTGTCACGGCAATTCCTGACTGTGACAGGACCCACGCGAGTATAAGATCAATAAAATGAATTTAAAAAATTTCACGATCAAATGATTATTTTTGAAGCGTGGCGTGGCATTTGGGGGCAGTGCGGCTCGGCTCTCAAGACACCAATTGGGTCTAGAGGGATCCGGCTCAGTTTGTCTCCAGTCGGTCCACAAGACACCTTCATATGCCGATGTGACATGAGTCAAGCGTACAATGGTCGGCTCACAGAGACCAGCACCAGTATTCCCCCAAGAATAAGGAATGAGGTAGGTAAGTAACGGCTGCTAGAGAGAGTTTCCGCACAATGAGCTCTTAGTGGCGCAGGGTCGCTTCTCCAGGAACTCGGGTGTTTGCGAGATTGCCAAAAACATACTCCCTTCTAACTGGATTCAAGGGATGTCTACTTGGTGTAGTAACGAGTGTAACAAAAAAGCAGCACTGCTTCCATTACCATCTGCGACCTCCTGCGCCTCCCTTCGTGATTTATTTGATCGGCTTTGGGTAAGGTTTGGGCAAGGTTGGCTTGCACATGGCATCACATCTTTGACCCCAATCAGTCACTCAAGCCCAGATCCGATTCAATCTCCCCTCTAGACCCCGAGTCTAATTCAATTTTTTCCCGCACAAGCCGACTGGGACACAGTCTGGGCAGTGATCACCTCCCCGATACGGACATTGATTTCCGCAGGGCATTGCCGGCAACTTCCACTTCTGGAAATTTCATCGAAAAAAATGAAGCCGTCACGCACACTAACACCCTTCTTGATTTCTTCCAAGTAACCCCCCTTTCCGGGAAGGGCGGACGGACGGACGGACGGGTGAATCCGTACCCGGTCTTCGTTCTTGTTACAATTCTTGTCTGGCTTGGAGACAAATGGTTTGGGTCCGCAGCGGCATAACCAGGGACATAACATACCCTAAGACTCCCATCTCGTCCTCGATACCCGTGTTGCACCCGAGATGCGATGTCTAGTCCCCCCAAACTTTCACTTGCCTTCGTTTCCGGCGACAGCTAAGCGTCAGTCCCTCGTTCGAAGCATGCTCATGATGTATCGCCGTGACTCCTACTGCTGCCTGACTTGACTAGAAACGAACGCAGTGAATGTCGATCACCGCAACTTCCAATGAACATTGTCCTTGCACCGCAGCTCATATTCAGCCACCTCACCGATGTTGCCTGACAATTGCCTCGGTTTGACTTGACTACGAGGACACAGCTTAACTACGGCGGAAGGGCCGCCCGCCGCCGCGATTTGCCCGTCCCATTCGCCGACATCGCTACGACCATGCTCTCCCCTTTGGCGCCGACTATGGGGACGGCATCGCGACAGCCTTCCGCCACGCACCATTCGTTGCCTTTCCTACGAGCCTTGGTATTCCTTTGTGAAGGCCAAATACAGAATATGCAATCCCCCATTCTACGATTGACATTCAACTCAGTTATGCAGAGGTTCGCCATTGAGTCTCGCCTCGGGGCCAGTTCGGCGACGGAAATGGATATTTGGTTTGTCAGTCAATGCTTTGTCTCCACTCATCCACCTCTCGATTACAGCTCAACAACTTCGCACTCTCTTTTTGTGACAGCTGACGTGAAATATCATACCCACAAACGAATTCAGCAATTTGGGACGATCAAGTATCTTTTGTCAGTCCGGACCCAAATCAATTCTGAGTGCCGAATGTATTCTATTCGAATGCAGAGCATGAGATCCGCGGTATGTTGTTTGTGTACGACCACGGTCTCCAATCGCCTCTTGCCAGCTCCGTCGCCTCGTGGATGTTCCAGCCCTATATGAGAAATCACCCCCAGGTAACAGTCCGACCTCAATGGTGACTAACCAACCGCCAACCTCAACACGAAGCTACCATCGAAGCATATGCCTTCGGAGATGCGGAGCTTGTATCATATCTCCGAAGACATGGTGATTGGCAGCCAACTTTACTGCTCAGCTTGTGCTCAGTCGAGATTACGGCGCCTGGGCGAGCTCAGTAAGTATCAGATCGTTGATATCTATTCGGTGGAATGCTCGGGACCCGCGTACCATCCCAGTCGAAGGCCAGTCCATCGAATCATCGATGGGGTCATCTCCTGTCAGCTCAGGCTCGGCAGATTTCATAGCACGACCAACTGTTGGCTTGGATTGAATGTGATGGCACAATGAAGGTAGCGTCTGTTCTTGACCCATTCACGCGAGAGCTGTCAGCCCATTCCGCACGTGGATCTTTGACAGCGCCTTCGATTTGATCTTCGTTGGAGGAACACTAAAGCGGTTGGATGAGCCGGGAAGGGGAAAGGGCGCCGCGAGACTGCTTCGACTTCGCCCCAGCTTCGCACAGCGCTCGTCTGAGCCTATTGAGGCAGCCTCTGCCTAATGGCGTTGGCGTTGGGATTGGACGGACTTCCGAGGCCAGAACCATCTGTCTATATATGAGAAACAAGTTGGAGACAAGTGCAGGCAGATTGAATACTCGCCGGAGATACCACTAGCCGAATCGCCGAATCGCAGCCGCGCCAAATTTGTTGTTCCGCGCTCCCTGCTCATCCGCAACATCAATAAAAACTAGACAAGTTGCCGGATAAGTACCGCGTAGGCCGTGCGATTCGGTACAGTGCCAGTGTGAGGAACGGCGATGTCACGGAAAGCCATGTGTTTGGCTGGGTTTGTTGACACGATTTGATGTGGAGGGGCTGGACATTCCAACTCAATTCGAGCTCACTGCGAACGAGAGAACCCTATCGCCTTCAACGCCAAAGGAAGAATTTGAAGGCAAGTGCGCGCTTTCCCGAAAAGAAGCAGCCAAGAATCGATATCAAGCTGCGAGTCCGAGTCTAGACTCAGGGCCTGGAGAAACGATAGGTAAAGCAAGCGAAAGACTTGGGAAGGACCACAATTCGATGGTCATAGCCTTAGCTGGGTACAAGAACCAAGAGAGGGACTTGAGCTTCGGGTGGTTCTTCCCAGGCGAGGGTTTGCTTCCGAGAGGGCAATCGGAGACTCGAAAAGCGTTGAAATCAACGTGAAAACCACCAATCCAGGCCCAGCTGGCAGCAGCTCTGCTTCCGAGTACTTAGCAGCAACTCGCAGAGCTGAAAGACTAAAGTTGCCTGCCAGTCTAGCATACCTGAAGGCGGCTGATGGACGTCTGAACCAAGGTGTCGGTATGCCGGTGGCGACGGGCGGCGTTTTGTGGCGTTGTCAGACGGTTGTCCTAAGTGGGCATATGCAGTCTCCGCAACGGTTGCCAAGCATCTGACGTTGACGTGGCACACGAGTTCGAGCCCACGTGTGCCAGTGTTGACGTTGCAGGAATGAGACCGGGCAGTCAATACTAGGAATGGCAAGATACTCTCACTTCACTTATGACAGGATTGACTTAATATTCTGAGTTATAACAGTTGCTGATTTTCGACTTGAAAACTTGAACTTAGCAAATGTAAAAAAATCCTAAGTGTTAGATGCTAACATTTGAATGAGCTATCAAAATACCAATGAGACTGTAACCCCATTACTTTAATTTACCATACACATGCACCCCAAACACTACTCACTGCCATGAACCAAAGATGTTTAGGTGGGAAACATTACTGGGAATATGTAAAGTTTTGGAATTAATTTTTTATTATCTAAAATTTTTTCAGCCCATAAAATGCTCACTTGGCAGGGGGGCAGGAAGAAAAAATTAAGAAACATACATGCTAAAAGAAAAATTAAGGGCTCACAGCCTACAGGTGGACCAACCAACCGTGACATGCCTGACAATTTCCTATTTAGGCAGATGTTTCACAGGGTCACCTAATTGACTCACTAAGAAATAAATTATAATGCAGGCTAACTATTGTACTACTGTACTGTTTTACTCAATCTGTCAGCAGCAAAGCTGCGGTGTGACTGACAATCTTTTTCATCACATGGAGATCATGGCCCCGGGCCGCCATCAGCCCGGGCCATTTCGTTGGCCTTGTTAAACCCCCGTGACCAACAAAATTTTTTCATTGGATCAGCAGGGGTGCAACACATGACTGACGAAATGAATAAAATAGTACAGTATGTCTAGATGCTGAATTATAGCTGCTATGAGCAGAGTCATAGGATTAGACTTGTGTCAATATTTCAGAACCTAGATATGTGAATCTGAGAAGCACCAGGCCACAAATGTGACAATATTGACCAAATATGGAAGTTTACTGATAGGATACAGAGAACTGTATACACAGTCTCATATTATACTGAGAACCTATGAAATACCTTCTTATACTTACTAATCAATGCCCAATACTTAAAAAAAGAAAAAAACTACCTAAAAAAATATTCAAAGCCCACTGGGAGGACTGCCTAATTAGCATCATATGCATTAATGCTATTATATCCCATGCATCTTCAAATGCTCTGAGATTATCCTTGGAGTGCAACAGGGTTTTTATGCAATGAAGGTATCTGAGTGTTTCCCTTCAAACAGTTAATCTGCAACCCAGACTCCCTTGGACAAGCTCGGATCTTCCAACTGTCAATATCAGATCTAATCCTGTTTGGAATTTTGCTTGTTTACACTGATTTACTGGAAATTGGGTGCCCATCTTCAATCTTGGCCCCTGATTTCTCACAAAAAAGTCCAGGTCCAGGTTACTGTTTTTGCACAAAGCGCCCTCATGTGAATGGAACACCATTATAATATAATACAATATGAAAATAAATTAATATTGGTTTTATCAACAATACTATACTATTTTAAATAGTTTGTTAGTCACATGTCACATGTCACACAGGGCTTAGTGCAACAAATTTTTTTTTATGGGTCACACATGTCTGATGATATTTTTGCCCCAAATTCATCTATAAAAGACAACTTTTTGCCTGTTCTGGCACTCCCTAATGGGGAAGGCACAACAAATGTTGAGGTTCATCATCTCAATATTGAGCTCATTATATGTCACTGCACTGCTGTGAGCATTGAGTAGCCGGTGTGGTGCAAGTCATTTGCGCTTGTAAGGGCAACCCCGGAGGCCTGAGATCAAGGTCCTAGCAGGGGAGGATCCAAAGCGTGAACATTGGTAAGTGAATACAAATGAAGCTGACCTAGCAGGGGAGGATCCAAAGAGAAGAAACTCTAAGGGTCCGCCTGCTAGGGAGCTGACTATATACTGCTTGTCCGTAGCTGCCACTGTCGGGCACAGAAGGCTTGGGCGGCGTCGCAGGCGAGGTCCCAGGGCGACCGTCGGGAGGGCGTTGACGGATCAGTGATTGTGCGGGCGAGATGGAGGGCCGGACCGGAGTCGGAACCAGAATCAGACCGGAATTGGACGCGTCTCTGAGGGGCCGAAAGGGGGGTTCCCCTGACAGCGCTGCTGGCCCATGCTGCTGTACTTTGGGCCATTTCCTGGAGGCTGTCATGCAAGTTGAGCAATGCCATGAGCGAGTTAGCAAACACTAGATCTAGATGGTAACAATCAGTTTCATTGCCTACCTAGAAAGATCATCTAAGACATACGGTGAACTTTGACATTGTCAGGAACAGGGCCGGCCCGGGCCCACGTGACGGTCTCCTGCCAGTCTGACAAGTGTGGGAAAGATGGTTCAACCCCCATAGCTGGGTGGTCGGCAGCCAGGCAGCGTAGATGGTGCCACTGCTGCAATAGAGAGCAGGGTAGGGACAGCTCGGGGCGACTCGAGACGCCCCGCTGTCATGTTGTGTGACAGCGGTGTCACAGGATACGAGTAGTCGTCTAGAGTGTCCTACCCCTGCTGAAGGGAACGAGTCCATAGCCAAAGAGTGCTGCCTAGTAGAGTTGGTGCCCAAGGCATAGGGCAAGGCATAGGCTGGGCCAGTTGAACAAGCCGTTCGGGCGGGGCGTGACGTAACGCGGTCACGCCCGACGGTTCGGGGGGTCGAGGGGAGTCGCCCCGCAGCAGGGGCTGCGGGCCCGAGACCCCTGGAGCGCTTGAGAAGGGTTGCCAGTCCAAGGGGCGACATATCTCCTTTCCGGGAGAAACGAGTCGCTGTGGCTCCTAGACACCGCGTGACTGCGCGGTGTGACGCGTGACATGCGGGCCCGATCGGGCCCGCACCCTCCCATCGCCCCGTACCAGGGGAACCCAGAGCTTGAGGCCAGAGAGCAAGAAGAAGTGGCTAGGACAAGGGTGAACATAAGAGACAAGAGCCTGAGCTGTCCAGCCCAACCAAGGGCTCAGGTCAATGAGGCAAGCTAGCCTGGAGTGTTGGAAGTCGTCTAGACGCCCCTTTCCTGGGGTATGGTCGCAGCAACCCCGCTCTAGGGGACCAGGCCGGAGTAGGGTCCAAAGGAAGAGACTTCAATGCTAAACCTAAGGTACAGGAGTAATACTGTAGTCTTTATATACTGTGGGCGCTAGGGGCCGATCGGGCCCGCTGAGGGTCGATCAGAATGGAGCAGGGGATGTCTCTGGTCGTCCCTGGTCGCTCCGCTAGGAGCCCAGGGACCATTCCTCTGGAAAGGAGCCATGCCAAAGTCGACACTAAGGAGTGTTTGGCAATGCAACAGTGAGAAGCTCCCTCCTGATCCCTGTGGTTGTCTGGGGCCGATTGGGCCCGCTGTCAAGGGCGTCCGGCGGCGCATCATGATCCCTGATGGCGGGTCATGATGGCTTGATGGCTGACTAAAGCGTGGTCCGTTATTATGTCCCTTCTCTGGGATATTAGTGTTGTTGCTCAGTGCTTTGAGCTTGTGAATATATGAGGGCTTGTCAAGCCCTAGGGCTCTAAGGGTGGTGAGGGCCCGTCGGGCCGTATAGGGCCCAACGGCCCGACCCGAACCGTCACAGACATCATGTAGAGATAGCCAGATAACTTGTCAACATGTTAATACCTTGGAATGCAGAACTCTGGGCATTGGGCAACAACATATAGTCATTGGGATGTTGGACACACTATCCTAGTATCAGAATTTGGAAATGTATTGGGTACCACGAGTAGCCAGTTGAAGCGCTCGTTGAGTGTGGGGATGTTGGCCACCTGTATTGAAAGAGCAGCGTCGGCTGTGGTGTCAGCGACAAAGAGCATTATGGTAACGCAGAGCTTGAGCAGCACCAGTTTGAACAACTTCAAGTTGTTTTGCACAAGAGTCCAGATACGGAACATGAAGAAAGCCTCCACTAAGTTAAGATTAGTAGGATGAAACTAGGATCGGGATACATAAGAGTTAAGCATACCCAATGCGGTGTTGACTGAGCCAAGGAAAATTGTGAGAGTGAGCATGAGGGGTATCTTATCGAGGAATATCAATGGATTGCCATAATTTACCACCACATATGTGTAGAGAACATGGCTGATACAGAAAATGTGGACAAACTCCATCAACCTGAAGATGTGTGAGTATTCAGTGTTTCTTCATTTCATGTACTTGCTTACCACACAATGGTAACCTGTAGGAAGTTAGCGGACATCAACATGAATGACCACGGATAAATGCACCAGCCACTTAATCATCCGCGGGTCCTGTGGGAAACGACGGTATTTTGCTGCGTTCTCTGTAAGATAGATTATAGTTACACCAGAATAAATAGCAGAAGACATGCAGAGCTCAGATTCCTAAGCGCCACATCAATGTTGAACATTTTAAAACTTGTTGCGCCCGTTCAAGTCACGGGAGAGGCTAGACTAGTAGAGCGGTTCCCTTAACTGCTGGCGAGCAGCAGTGTGAGGGGTGTAGGGCAACAGGAAATACCTAATAGTTTAGATAAGAAATGAGATAGGAGGAAGTAGAAGTTTACAGTGTACAAGAATATCGAGACCTTTCAGATGGGGTCTGACTTTTGAAGCGGCCTTGCATGGTATGGTGATGGCAAGCTCAGTGTGAAGATGGAAGCCATGTTGGCTCAATTAAGATGCGGAGACATCAGGTGTAGTATTGACATTGTGGAATGGGTAGAGAGCAAGATGTGGACTGAGCGCTTGATGAGGGTTGCCCATGGCTGACGGTCACAGTGTGTCACAGTGTGACCAGCAACGCGTCCATTTTTCCCAGCTCAAGTCACAGCCGCAATTGAAAAATTTTTAGGTGGGAAATGTTAGTGGGAATATATAAAGTTTTTTCTTGGCCCAAAAACTCATTGCAAAACATTAAATATTTTGGTCCTAAAAATCCTGTTGCCCCAGCCAAGTCAACATTTTTTCGGCAGAAAAACTCAAAATTTTTTACACAATAAAAGATTAATTGCAAAACTTTATATATTCCCACTAATGTTTCCCACCTAAACATTTTTGAATCACGGCTGTGAGTACGACTGGATCTTCCAACAACTACAAGCACTCTGACCCTGCCAGTGACCCTGCCTCCATGATAGCTAATTTAACGCGAACCAGAAATCTCAGGCAGAAATCATTCGCAACCTGCAAGCGGCGAACCGAGAAGCAAAACCACTATTGTAGTGCTCTGTCTGCGCGACGGCCTTGGAAGCGCAAAAACGGCGCCATCGAGCCCTTTCAATCCCTCCAAATATGCCGCCACTTGTGCAGCAACAAACCCGCCAACTGACGTAGAAGGACTCCAGCTGTTGTCTCAGTGACAAGAACGACATAGAGAGCTTAAATTCTCAAGCGCTATGGCGATGTTGAGCAGTTTGAAAGTCGTTGTCACGTTGCGGGGGCTGAGAGCGGTTATGCGAGACCCTGCCGTCGAGCATCGTGAAGGCTAACAGAAGATGCTACCTAATGGTTGTGATAAGGAGTGAAGTAGTAATTGACAGCGTACCAGATATGTCGAGACCTTTCAGATGGGGGGCTGACTTTCGAAGCAGCCTTCAAGTTGCTACAGCCTACGGCGAATGGCCAATGTGCGCGGATGGCGGTGGCAGGTTAAGCGAGAGCCTGAAAGATATGGGTCCTTGGTTGAGATGCGGAGACAAGAGGAATATTGTTGAGGTTGTGGAACCCACAAAAAGCTAGTTAACTGAGAAGTTGAGAAAGGAGAGAGTTGTTGTTGATGTACACGTGATATGACGCGATTGATGTGACAAGTAACGCGACCATCTTTTCCTAACGCGACCATCTTTTCCTCGTCCCGAATCCGAAGCTGGAGCACAACTGGATCCTCCGACAATAACAAGCGCTCTGAACCTAAGACTGGCTCGCCTGTTGACCATTCTGGTGCAAACTTGAAAATCTGAGGCAGAAATCATTGGCAAGCGGCAAAACGATAGGCAAACGATCATGATGTAGTGCTCTGTCTCCACACAACTCTTGGAAGCGTTACAATGTAACCATCTGGGCCCCTAAATTTCCCTCAAGTATGAAAGATATGCCGCCATTCGTGCAAGAATCAGCCTTCGTCGATTGACGCAGAAAGACTTCGGTTGCGATCTCTGCAAGTACTTCCGAGTCCGTTGTCGAATTCCAGTCGCTCGCTGTAAAGAAAAGCCGAAAATCTGCGCCATAGAACACGCATCAGTCGCCCGCTATACTTATTCAAGTATTTCAAAGCTCCTCACCAAAGCGCATCAATCCGCGCCATGACCCGCCACTTGACGCTTGGTACAACGAATAACGACGGTCCTCTGAGCTTTGAACGTCCTCAACCTCATATTTAAGCCGCTATGCGCCCTCTCAACCCTCAACAGCTCCAAACCAAACACACCAACACTCCTCCTCCTCCTCGAAAAATCACCATGTCGTTCACCTCCCCAACCAAACGCCGCGTTACTCCCCGCCCCTACAAGCCGGCGGACTGGCGTGTGCAGCGGTCCACCAACCACCTCATGCAATCCCCCATCTCATTTGACTACCGCCACACAAGCGCTTCGCTCGCGGGCCAGGGTGTCGCCATGCGCGATTTGAGACTCCAAGGAAACGCGACGCGAATTGAAGGCGCCAACGACTTGGTGCTTGCACACAGCGGCCTTGCGCGCATCACTTTCCGCATTATCGTCAGTGGACCTTACTGCTCTATCCCGTTGTTTTCTGACTTGGTTATTCAGTGGCCCGGCTACGAACATGTTGAATGGTGCCGCACAATGAGCATCGTCTCCGACCATGGCGCTCCCATCACCCGCCTTGGCCTCGCGATCCAAGTGGCAAGCAGCTTCGCTCACTGGACAGAGGTATGTTGCCCACTTCCCAAATGCTAGCTAACAGATTTTGCAGAAAACCCAATACGAGAAACCGACATCTCCTGAATGGATGGTGTCCCCCGCCTGCGTGCAATTCAAACATATGTACCTTGTGTCCCTACACGTTCGAAAACGTCTGGCAGGCTGACGTTGCGTTGGACGTCGTTTAAAGTCACTGCCCGAACAACAACTGTATTTTTAGTGACATTATTCCCGATGTATTTCGCTGCCCATTTAGAATGTGATTCATTTCAACTTTTCCTCGACTGACCTATTTGAGAAACGCTGCTGGTTATCAGTCCTCACGACTGCACCTAACCCGCCACGTATCCCTTGTTGTAGTAGTCGGAAAACCGTGCTCGACTGGCAGTTCAAAGCCATTTCTTCAAGCGAGCCGAAGCCGCTCCACTCTTCCACCATGTTTTTCTTCAAGCAACAGGACACTTGATGAAAGCTCTTGATAGTGGAACACAAGCACAAGGTAGCATTAGTAGCAATAACAGGATTGACATGGAGCAAGAAGTCATCCAAAACAGCATACATTCCCGCTCGATGGCTGCAACGCTTAGCACCAAATGGCCGACATAAGGTCCCATAGAGCCCTGTAGAGAAAGCGCGGGTTTTATTAGGCTCATTTTGGGGCTACATAGACTAGGTAGATGACTGTGAGCGGAAGCACCAGCCTATTATCCCGAAATCAGCTTGAGTTTTGAAAACATAGGAGGAAGACCCACACTCAGCCCATTTTTGTAGAAGCCGGGTCTTCAACGCTGCGACTGGATGAATAATCACTTGCCGGTGCCTGAAGTTTGGGGACCGCTGCTTCCTTCTGCTACTTCGTGTGTCACAGGAGCGGATTCGAAGAGAATAAGCATGTTCTTGATTGGCCATATATGTTACAGTCTCTGGACAAAAAAAATGAAGGAGAGTAAATGAAGCGATATCAAGACATACCTTCTTGCGAAGTCCAGCCCCCCGCCCCATACTTTCCATTTCCATTTCCATCTCCCCCCCCCACACACACGTCGTTGATGGTAGCGGAAGTGAGGAATGGTAGAAGGACATCTCCTTCGGGGTCCGCACGGGTGGTGTCGGCGCGAGAACAAAATCCTCGGTTTGCGTAAGGCTGGCTGGACGGTGGACGCAAAGGGCAGTGCGGGTGAACACTGGAAGGTGTTGAATAAGTATGAGACGAAGAAAGAGAGAGTGCTGCATGCCTATTAGCCTGTAGCGGTTATGCACTTGTTCATTCCGGTCCCAGAGTATCACAGCAGAGACTGGAGGAAAAGTTGAGTAAAGACGGAGAAGAAAAGTTGGGCACTCACACATCACCCGCTGAAATCTAATGAAAAAAACTGAACGAACGTAAAAGAAGCGGTAGCGGGACATACCTTCTTACCAAGTCAAGTCCCTGCCCCGCATGTTTCCATCTCGTCCCACGCAGAAAGAGCACTCGTTGGTGGTAGCTGGGGTAGGGAAACATCTCCTTTAATCCTCGTACTGGTAGTAACTGGCGCGGCTGGTTAATGCCGGCGCGAGCGAAAAATGTTCGGTTTGTGCTGGTCGGTAGGTGTCGAAGTCCACGTTGTTGAATAAGAGAGGAAACCTATTGCTTGCCTGATGTCCCAGAAGTATCGCCAAATAAGAGCTCGTATGTCAGACTCGCAATTGACTGGAGAAAAAAGAACATGGGCAAGAGCAGACGAGCAAAGCATGGCACTTACCTCGTTACATATCAGGCGCTATATCCCGGAAACCTCGAGGACGAGCAGCAAAACCTCGCCGAAGCTTTCGTGGCGGCACATGAACGCTTGAGGAGGCACAGTGGCCTAGCGTGGGGATGAGATATGGGGTGAGATGGGCATGAAAGCGGCCGGCAAGAATCTTTTCGCCCTCGACTTCAGCCCCTTCTTCCACATGATGAAGGCGCTGCTATTTCTAATTGGTAGCCAAGTCGTAGTCGGAAGTTGGTTCCATCCCAACCAAGTTTCTGGAGAGCACGAAATATCAGAGATAGACAGAGGAAAGCATCATAACACACCTCCATACGAAGTCATCTGCGTTGCGAAACTCTATGTCGTCCCGCGAAAAGTTCTGGCTATCCGCGAGCTAGCAAAACGTCGCTAACAACGCGCCACTGGCTTGCAAATGTCGTCCTGTATTCTTGCCCAGGGTTCGCGGATGCACGACTATGGCTGTCGCTGAGAAGGCGATTCAGTTTGGGAGAAACCCAAGTACCTGCCCTGTACATGTGTAGCGCCGAAACGACATCGTTTGCCCACACTCCTTACTGGTAGCGTATCAAAGGCAAGGGCAAACGCCATTATGGAGAAGGTCCAAATGAGACGCGTGGTGCGTGATGGTGGTCGTGGAAGCAGAAGTGAGCACTAAAAATTTACTGTTTCCAAATTCGGAGTTTCACATCCGATTACAAGAAACCAGATACGACTACGTTGTATCGCTATGACTACATTTGAGGCTCCTGATTCCTCAGGCTGCCATTTTAAGATGGCGAGAAAAACTAAGGCAAAACTCCGAGTCAAAACTGTGCCATTGATTCATTTTTCATTCCCAGTCTCCACAAATGCTCCTAACGTGTAAAGCGGCGGAGGAGTGTAGTGGCCTGCAGCCTTCATCATAAACGAGCATAAGCACAAGGCTCACACAGCGTAGACAGGTCGACATACCTTCATCCGAGCAGACCCAGGAAGTTCCTGGCTCCCAATGCGCAGCTGGAAGCCATTCTTCAAATGGGCAGAAAGCTCTTCGTAGCCCTGATGCCGGTTCAACAAGCGCTCCTTCGCATTGGTTGCGGTAGCATCGAAATCAACATCGTCCAACAACATTTCCTCCAGACCCAAATCCTACTAGTACCAACTGCACCAGCGGCAAGTAGGGAAAGACTTGCGCAGCCCGTCGCACGACGATCTTCTTCAAATTCGGAAAGGATGCTGTTTTGAGCGTCTGGAGGAGCGCACTGAGAACGCCCATCCGAGGGTTGGCATAGTCAGGGAACTCGAGCGTGAGCTGCCTAATGGTCGGAACAGCACATATGATGGAGAGGGTTTGCGTCCACACTTCAGGTGTCTTGATCGTGAGGGACTCGAGCGAATATCCAGAGGTTTCAGCCAAACCCTTGATGTCATCTTCCAACATTTGGGAGTAGTTGATGGTCAAATGCTTGAGATTAGGCAGGATTATGTACCGGAGCCATTCGGATGAGCGAACTGCGAGTTTTCCGCCCTGTGGCGGCGGCGCGTCTGGGGGATACCACTGTCCGATCGTCAAGGTGTGGACCGAGTTCAGGGTCAAAGCATTCGGTCGTGCGTTCAATGGACAGTCCGACAGGGTAGCCTGCATCGCGAGGAACATGATAATGCAGCTCCTCGACGTTGCTTGTGCGTTGAATGATGTGCAGGAAAATCGATGTATGCTGACCATGGCAGGTCAATGAAGTAAGCCTGTCCCACGGAAAGTAGTCCCATGTTGGATAATAAGAGCTTGAAGTCAACTCGAGCTGCCGCAAAGCCGGAGCATCCCACTCGAGTCCTGGTGGCGACAGTAATGCATCAAGTCTTTCATCGCGATAATCAGAGCTTGTGATCGTAAGGCGCAGCTCCTGCAAGCGAGGGAAGCGATAGTGGTTCGCATGAGTGGAGTCCGAATCTAAGTCTTTCTCCACCACAGTATTTTCCAAGCTGGCAAGAACGTGGATGTCGCAACCGAAGTAAACCCAATGGTCAGGACTGGCAGTTGTGATCAACTTCCGGAACACATCTAAGGCGGGTTGGAATCGAGCGGACAATTTTTGCCGCTTTTTGTCGTTCAGAGAGGCCTCCCAGGGTGCGGGAGGGAAAGGCGACGGCTTCAGCCCTCGAGCCATCCGGATGTCGATCCTAGTTGGTTGCATATTGGCTCGTTTTAGCAGCGCATCCAGACCGGCGCCTTGGTCCACCTCGCCCACGACACCCTTGATGCAAAGACTCTGCCACAATTGCGGCAGCGAGAGCGCGATACCGCGCCAGATTCGGCAGACCGCGAGCAGCGTTGTGGGGCCGTAATAGCCCTCATTTCGGGCGGCATGCGTCTCCCGCGCGTCGGCCGCGTAGCGTTCAAATACCCCCGTCATTATCTCGACTGGCAAGGTCAAGACTGGGTAGCGCAAAAGTCGCAAAGAGCTGGCGACCGTTGCGCGTTTGATGACGAGGTCTTGTATCGTGTCGTAGAGCTTCTTTATCTGGTTGTCGAGACATGCCAGCTCTTGTCGCAACGCCTCACCGTCCTCAGGCTGAGCCGCCATGAGAAACGGGAAAGACAAGCAAATCGGTGACACTTGTCGTCACGCGACACGCGACAATCGCGCATTTGGCTTGCGGAGAACATGAGACAGGATCATGAGAGTCCTTTGTAAGGGATATTTAGTGCATTTGTGACCCGTGAGTTACTGAGTATGCTATGGACTTGTAAGTTTTCGCAGAGAAGCCAACTTTTGGCCAACTTGAACTTGGGGCATTCAGGTCGGGAAAGAAACGGGTAGTCCGCGCCGAACACATGGAAGACTTTGGAGATGGAAGTCTTGTGGAAGCCATAGCGCGACGGGTTGTTGAGCTCGCCCACGTGATATCACGCAATTGATCTTGGACGCTGACCATGACGACCTTCTGCAGCCCACGCAGCCTGCTCTATGAGGCAGTCTGCCATTGCGTCGAAGTACTGCCCGAGCTGCCGGCCTCATTAACGGGAGGCACGCACTGGCAGAACTAGCACTGGCAGTCGCGGCCCCCAGCGCCAGACCGACGGAATCTTTCAAGTCACTACTAGGCTACGTCAAAGATGCAAAACTTGTTCAGCTCGTGCAGCGACTAATGACTCATCGCCATAATGCATGGAAAAGACTGCAATCCCGTTTCCAATACCAACTCACGAAAAATCTCCCGTCAAAGCCCTCCACAAACGCTTCAAAGCTCCCGCAAAGCACATCAAATCCGCCATGACCCGCCGCAACACGCATTGTACGACGGAGAGCAGCGGTCGTTCGTGCTTTGAACGGTCTCGGTCTGTTATTTAAAACCGCAATACGGCCCCTAAGCTCCAATAACAACTTGAGCCAACGGAACCAGACCCACTCGAAAAAAATATCGATGCCCTTCATCTCGCAGACGAAACGCCGCGTTCCATTCAACCCCTACCAGCCCTCCGAATGGCGGGTCCAGAATGCCACCAACCACCTGATGCAACCCTCCATCTCGTTCGACTACATCGGCGCCGCCGCCGCCGGGCAAGGCGTTTCCATGTACGATATTCGACTGCAAGGAAATGCAACGCAACTTAAGGCCGCTAATGACTTGGTGCTTGCAAGCAGCGGCCTGACGCGCATCACTTTTCGCATTATTGTGCGTCTTGTAACACTCCATTGCGTTGCTTTTTCATTTTTCATCCAGTGGTCTGGCTATGAACATGTTGAATGGTGCCGCACCATCAACGTCGTCTCTGAGACTGGCGTGCCTATCACTCGCCTCGGACTCGCCATCCAGGTGGCAAGCAGCTTTGCTCATTGGACTGAGGTTCGTCGTCCCTACTAGTAGTTCCCCTTATTCGTCAACTAATTCGCCCCCTGCAGAAGGCACAATACGTGAAGCCCACATCATCCGACTGGATGGTTTCGCCCGCTTGTGTGCAGTTCCGCCACATGTACCTTGTTTCCCTTGTCAACACCTTTGAAAATGTTTGGCAGGCTGATGTCGCTCTGGACGTTGTGTAAAATACGGGCCTAAACATTTCTAGTGATGATTCAATGTACTAAGTAGCATAGAATGGCTTCCTTGTTTCTGCAACTCGAAATAACGGTGTATGGCGGGCTCTATACCAATACGAGAGCTAACTATCGCCAACTACTCAACACGTTTGGCTACAATACAGCACACAGGAAGACTTCTGGCCACAACTTTGAAAGAGCATCGATAATATCTGTTACTAGTAGGTAGCTTGACCTAATTCGCGTTCCCGCTGACGGGTTTGTCAACTATGACCTGATTTAGCACCGAGACACGCCGACCATCCAAATTGGAGTCAGTACCAAGTAAAGCGACGACTACCTACTCACCGAAAAAGCCATGGAACCCAGGCGGGAAATGCGGCTTCGTAAGACTCTTGTCTTCCTCGATACTGAAATTGGCCGTCAGCGCTTGTTTGGGAAGCGGAATACTGCCTACACAAGGTTTATAGACGATTGAACCCGCGTCTCTGCCGGCGCGGACTGAACGAGGTCGTTCTGAACGATTGTGGCGGTATAAAACAGACCCACGACACCCGCCTGGCAAGGATATTTGGATCAACATTCACCACTCAGAACACCACTCACACTGAGCCCAGTGTCCACCTCAACCGCTCCGCTGAAGGAAACTTCAGCGCCAGCTTCATTGAAGCCTTCGCCCTGGAGCTGCTTCTTGTACTCCTCCCGCGAAACCGATTTGCCATTGACGGCAATAGTTGCATGCTTTGCCACGAAGCTTTCGAAGGCAGTATCAAAGTCATCGGCAGTGGTCGCCTTGAGAATGGCTGATAAGTGCTGCTCTGCCCATGCTTGCAGGCCTGGCAGTACAATGTTGACAGACATTAGATATGGGCGGAAAGAGTGAAGATATTGGTCTCAGTCGACATTATGGCGCTACTTTAATATAAGCCTTAGGCCTCAATTCAAATGTGAATACTCACATTTTGCTCACATTCCCGTCGCTGCCCGTAATTGAACTTCGAGACAAGACCCGGAGTTGACTGAGTACTAGTACTCGGCTCACGATTGTGGCTGATTTTGCCGAAGACACCGTCTGTTGCAGAGCCTGCCTCTAGAATATGAATCGATTACAGCGTACCCCTGTTTCACGCTAATGCTCGCCGTGGCGAGCCCGATGTGAACGCCTGCGTTTCGATATTATTGTGGCTGGCATACTAAATGAAGCTGTGCAATGTGAAATGGTGTATGAATCAAACGGTCCTTGCACACACCTTTCGCAGCATCAGCTTCTCGGGGCCTCCTTTCGCGTACAACCATAATTTCAAGGTGTGTACTTTGTAGTGACCCGTATGCTAGAGTCGCACCGACACGAAGATATGGGCACTTACCCTGACCTGAGGTAGAGCTGGAGACACTACTCGGACATACTCGCTTCACCGATGATGTCGGTCCAATTTCACGGCACCCAGCTCCAATTTGGCTCTCTTGGCTATGATTTCAGCGGGAAGCTGACGAGAATAAGCGCCTGCGCAAAGCTATACTCAAGTACTTACTTAAGTGACATGACGCGGCTGTACTAATCGCAGAGCTGACTGTTGTCATCGCTAGCATTTTGGAAGGTCACAGAGCGAATAAGGTAGGATACGAGCGCGGACTTGTGGCCACAGCGCCGGACGGCGAACCCAAGATTGATTCAAGATGAAAGTCGAAGGCAAGGAATTTTTCACCTTCCAAATTTAGGTTTCTGATCCTTGTCTGATCCTTCAGCTTTCTTCGTTTTCAAGTCCCAACTTTTTTCGTTCGCTGTTGATTCAAGTTTCGCAGAGGGATAGTGCCGAATTTACGACTCGGAGTGTCTGCCAGTAGTGCTGGCCAGAATTATATTATGCTTGATTAAATATTGAATATATTCAGAATATTATGAATATATTATGCACTTCGTGGATCACTTGAATATGATTATGTTTGAATATATTATATTATATTATGACTATGCTATCGCAGAATATTCAACTATAGTAAGGTGGATGATTACAGCTATTTTCTCAGTCTATGTACTCAGTCATAGTACTAATCTTAGTCTGAGTTAGCCCTACTTCTGATAAATGTCACATATTATCTATTATATATGGTGATTCATACATTACCCTTAGTAGGAACAAATGTCAGGAGTGATCACTTTAGACTGCCAGTACACTCCACTCAAACCTTCCTCATGCCGCAGCTCCAAAGCAAAGCAAACCGTGACCAGCTTCACCCGAAGTACTTACTCCCGAAATTTCTTGCTTGCCGCAGCACATCTCCTAGCTGCGCTCAAAATCCTGATGTTCACTTGCTCCTCTCGCTGCCCACGACATTCAATCAGCTGCTATCCACTACATGCCATGATGCATTGACAGCGGAAACGGCAAAGCCTCTACTCAGATCTAGTTTTGTATTAGTTTCTACTATCGTGGAGAGACCGGGGAGGTATACTGTGGCTAACTGAATACTAGTACGACTGCCTGTGGACAATTGGAGTCTGGTTACATGTATGGGCATGCTGTAGTAACGGCGCCGGATTGAAGCCGCACAAACTTAAACCCTGCTCGTTGAGTTGTGGCTACCCCGAACTTGAACCTGCTAAATTCTAATCAAGCTCTGTTCAAATTTCCTCCGTGCTCCGCCCTTTCGTTGCCCTTTCGTCCCCGCCTTACAAAGCTTTCGCTCTACGTAGACCCACTGGCACTGAGGCTTCTCTATCAATATCGTTTACTCCTAGAGCGAAGTTAGGATTGAAGATTGTATTATCGCCTCGAGCCAGTCATTCAAGTTATTGGATACTAGTACTTATCTGCCTGGCAGTGATCGCCCTTTTCATCCGCCGCTCGCCGGGGCTGGCATCATCTAGCAACCAACTCCCAGATGCCAGATAAGTCGTCCGAAATATTGCAAACATGACTGGCAATCCCGACCATCGTTGCTAGGAACAGGACCGTGACGAGAACAGGAGCACTTGGAATGGACGACCTCGAGTACGTAAGCTGATTGACTCTTTGAGCCTCGGATCACTTTCAATGGGCCAGCTGAGTCACCCTCTTCCGACTTGCTTATGCATTGCGATGTGAGCATCTGCCTCGACTTTGCTTGTTCAGCAAACTTCGAAGTTGCTTCGAAGACAACTTGAAATATTCACGATCTGTGTCTATGTCGTCATGTACGACTGCTCCTGGCGTTGGCGCTAAGGTTTCTGGGTTTCGTTCATTCAAGTCTGGCATCTTTTCGTGCAGGAAGGAACATGGCTGAGCGTGAGTAGCCATTAAAGACCTATAGCTTGAATAATCTCCACATAGAATATGCGCAAACCTGAACCGCCAACCCTGTCTCTGCCTACTCCAGGCAAGCACAATTCCGTCCTTCCCAAGACATTCGAATGATCGTTTGAATCAAGATGGACATGTCGGGTATCACTTGACAGTGGGCCAAGGATTGTCTCTTTCCATGTCATGAAACAGGAAGCACCCACGAGTTGCCCGACAGTAGCAACAAGTTACGGCCAGCTTCCCACAGTGTTTGTTGACGAGGTCAGCGCATGCAGGATGTAAGTACTCAGACCTTTGCTTTCGCGTTCACAGAGATGTGGGAGGCAATCGAGGAGCGCAAATTCTACAAGACATATTTTGGGATCGTATGTAGAGCCAAACGCAATCGCTGGGGAGCTGACAGGATGCTTGTAGTGCAGGCAACGCCAGGGAGTCGACATCCTCTAACTCAACAGCCGTCGATGAACCCAAAATGTCTCCTCTTTCTGCTCCGCAGTCGACGCCCACGATGAACGGCCCCTCGCCAATCGTTTCTCATGCACGGATCGGCGGTACCGCCACTGATAAGGCGGGCCTTCCACCTGCAATCCCCCACAAGACACCGCCTTCTGACAGGATGGCGATATCGACTTCACGGCCTAACAGCGTAGGATGTCCACCGGTGTTTCAACTATTCTCTCACCATGTTCGCTAGCGATTGCAATCCGGGCCAAGTCTTCATTCGATTTTGATGCGCCGACGCCTCCACGCGCATGCCCTCGCCATCAACTCTGAACAACGACATCCCAGAAAAAAAGTACATGAACCCGTACTTATAGACAAGCCGCGGGACCGGAGCCCTTGGCCACCGACCTCCTACTCCCTCCCAACCGCCAGCCTCATGTATGACGACCATCCGTTTTCCCAGTGGCTCCAGCCAGCTTTGGGCGAAAACGACTCCCCCATCTCCCCCGCGTCCTCTTCGTCTGGCTCGTCATTTGCTTCTTACCGTCCATCGACAGTGCCACAGCCCTCGATATATGGCGCGCTCCCCTATCCTACCCACAATCCCCGGCCAGCCTTCATGACCTTTCGCTTCACGGCCCTGGAAGCTAGCATATCGGAAGGAGGATTGCTAAATGCCAGCGTCACGGGTCCTCCAAACGCAAAAACCTACTATCGCATACGCACCGATGCGCCTGCAGAGGGATTCACGGTCGTTGCCCAGGCAGGGTCCAATGCGCCGGTGGCGGTCATCCAGTGGTCAGGCGACGGCATAATCTCTGGTCCGGTGGTAGAGGTCAAGGGCGTGGTGTCCAAGAGGCTGACACGGGAGTGGTTGTCTTTGTCGCCTGAGAAGAGGTGCGACAACTATCCCACCTTTTCCTTGCTCAGCCGAACCCTTTTTTAGCTACCGTACAATGTTGGCTCGGGAGCGCTCGTTCGTGTGGGTGCCAGAAGGGGCTCATATCTCCGTTTGTCCCGTCTGCTGTTCTATCATGGCGCGCTCACGGGATGGCACAGCTGTACACTGCTGGCCTACGGCTGCCGCAAATGTTCGGCCGGATATCTTCGGAAGCTGAAACCGGCGCATTACGACTCGAAATCACCGCCGAAGCTATTCAGATTGGGCTACTCGAAGTATGCGTCGTCTCTGCCATCCTCCTCCAGTCGGGCCGGCGCATCGACTAGGCCTCTTGCGAACCACAACGACCACTCGTCCTCCAAAAAGTATACATTCTTTCTCTCTATCTTGGCTGGGCAGACGCTCAATGCCAGACGTGAACCCCCCCTTATTTTACTACTCTACCTGTTGCCAATAGTGGACTAGTACGCTCACTTATGGACCTCCTCTTTGGACAGATTGTATCCATTTGTATAACCACACGCCACCATTATTGACTACACTTATGGACTCCCAATTTGTACTACCACCCCCAAATTATACATCTATATACTAGTATATAATTCTACTCCAGCTTATACTTACCCTTCAATCTCAGCCTTTCACTGAGGCCCACTCAAAGAGGTTTGCTAGGAGTTTCTTCTGGGTGTCTTTATCCTACTAGCCTCAGTGTTCTTGTATATACTTACTATATATATATATGATTCTAGCTATAATATATAGGTGGTTATTATCAGTCTGACAATAACAATAGGGAAGTAGTCATCTAGCCCACACTGTATAAAATTTCAACCTTTTCATAACATGTACTGTACTGCAAAAAAGCCTCAAATCTGCAGCACCTGTGTGGCCCATATATCACTGTGAACTTGAACTATCAGGTCCAGCCCAGCAGGGTGTTAAGATGCCTATCATGGATATAGGATAGGGGTCTTAGGTGGTCCATGGCAGTGGGGGGTGGTGAAACAAAATTTGCTATGCAAAAGTTTTGGGAGGTTTGGGTGGGTCTGAGCATATATTAAATATTTAGACTACAACATAAAGTGGGTATGGGTATATGCATACTACTTACTTGTGAGAATGTCTCAACAACTTAGCTTGGCTGCAGTATGACTGGTATCACAATGTTACCTTGCTTTAGCTAGGTCCTGAGACTGAAAATGATTTTTAATTCTGTGATTTGTACACATGTACAAACAATGATGTGATAGGCACCTACGTTTCGGGTCAGCGACAATGTTCCCACTCCCATGCCTTCAATCACGGATGACAAGACATGACAAAAGACAGAAGACAGCGTGAGTTGGGGCTTATGGGTCACGGTGGCGGCCTATGCACAAATAAGGGCATGACTGTGACATTGCACTCTTGTTGTCTGATGCAGGAAGATCTAATGACAATAAGGCCAGTGATCAACTAAGGGGGCCTTTTTTCGGCTTCAGGATGCACAAGGCCCTTATAAGGGCCTAGGACCCTTGCCAAGGGCCGATGGAAGGGGCCCTTAGACCAAAAAAAGGAAAGAGAGGAAAAATCATAATAAATGCACTTACTCGATATAATCGTCATCGTCTGATAGATATAATGCACTATCATCTGGATTCTCATCCTCCTCTGCATCGACCAGGTCATTCAGGTACTCCACCTCAGCTTGTGCATCAAGCTCGACATGGCTTAGGTGTTTGCATCCTTGAACAGCTTCTCAAGTGTCATCTTGCCCCACTTGGCAGCGGCCGTTGCAATTGCCTCTGACTGTAGCACCTCCAGAGACAGTAGATCATCCACTTGATCATCATCTGCTGCTCGCGCCTTGCCGATCCATCAGGCCATTTCCGTTTTCCAACCCTCAGCTCTGCAAACAAGCTCCTGGCCATGCTCAGTTTCATCTTCGTTATCTTGATCTCCAAGCAAGTCGGAGTAAGTTGGAACAACCAATAAACGGGATTCGACGGCGTGGTTCTGGCGTTTTCGGGATGGTACAGTGCGGTGATGAGTGCGGAGTGCGGACAGCAAATGAGCTCTCTAACCAACCTAACCAACAAAAACAACCAAACTCCACTTTTCGTAGAGAGAAAGATGTATAATGTCGAGTAGGAAAAGTCACAAAACCCAAAAATTGTCAACTCCTTGTGCGACAACAGGCCCCTGTGAACAGAGCCTTAGCATAGATGTGTAAGGTTGCAGGGTAGATACAAGTTTCTTGCGAAAAATGTTGATTTTGTGTGCCCCAAAGCGTACTATCGACGAAACTTCGCAATAGAGAAGCGCCAATACGATGCCCGGAGAGTTTATACTCGTTGGATCAGGACTAACTGCCTTAAACCCTCTGAGTTGTCTCGAGTCAGGAACTAACTGCCTTAAACTCTCGACCAGCAACCGAAACCCAATAAACAGCAACCGGAACTCTTGTATTCAGCAACCGAAACCCTCAACCAATAATCCTTCCGACACGATGATACTATTTCGAAAGAGCTAGCAAGATAGATTGACGAGCTAGATCCCCAGATGCACATCAGGCATGTTGACGATGATAACTTTGTGCTCAATATGGGCTCAACCCACAACTTCGCCAAGCTTATGCGTGTTCTTCCGCCTGCGCTTCACCATCTCAAACTTCTCCATGCCGACCGTGTTCCCTTTCATACCAAAATGGGGGGAAAGGCCCAGATCGCTCACATGACAGCTCGTGAGAGAACGGCCGAGAAACGCTGACAGACAGCAGCCAGAAAGAAACAGCAGGCAGCCTAAGCAGCAGATGAAGCCCAGAGAGCCGAAGAGATTGCAAACAGAGGAGACGAAGAAGACGACTCGGGTGCTGACGAATCAGAGCTTGAACATGGAGAAGAGTTAGATGAGTCGGAGGGTGAAGTCGACGATGACAATGGAGAAGAGGAATATGTTCCCAAGAAGCCGAGTCGGAAGCGAGGTCCCAGAGCCCAGGGAGGAAGCCAACAGAAGAAGAAGAAAAAGTAGAATCATATCCATTTTTGTGTATTATGTAGTACATTTGACTGAGTCAGTCCGATATTTGTCTTAGATGTCAGCCGAAGCACTCCTTGGACGTCAGTCAGCCATCCCATGGATATCATTGTGAGATACCTGTAAGGGCAACCCTGGAGACTCCGACGAAAGCCTAGCAGGGGAGGATCCAAAGAGAAGAAACTCTAAGGGTCTGCCTGCTAGGGCGCCAACTATATACTGGTCGTCCGTAACTGCCGATGTAGAGCGCAGAAGGCCTGAGCGGCGTCGCAGGCTCTGTCCCAAGGTGATCGTTGGGAGGGTCTTGACGGATCAGTGATTGTGCGGGCGAAGGAGGCCGTGGACGATGGTCGGGGTGGGTCGGAGCGTCCGAGGGGGCGCCGGTCGGATGCGCCTCGGATGCGTTCGGAGGGTCCGAAGGAGGCCGAAGCGGGGGTTCCCCTGACAATACCCCATTGACCTCAGCGGAGGGTTCATGGGACCTCACGTGGATCTCTTCTCAAATGGTCAGGCTGATCTTGGTAACGAAGGTCAGCTTGATCTATTCTTGGGTTGGGGGTGTAGTAGAGCAATCCGTGAATCTGCCAAATACAAAACAGAGATATAAATACTAAACAGAAATTGATAGAATCAGGGAAAATCATGAGTAAGAAAAGTAGTCCATGCGCATAATTGTATAGGTATCGTTTCGCCATACGGCCCAGAGTCGAAAATCCAGGTCCAGATGACTGGTATCGCGTGTATTGGTATCAATGACCTGTGTAAATCTTCCGTATTCGCGACCATCTAGTTTGGCTTGTGAAGTATCCCTCAATCTTGAGTAGGATGAGTTGATAGCTCGGCTTCCCAGCTTTCGATTGACACCCATAACTCGTATCTTGTGTGTATGGCCTCAGCAGTGGTTGTCCCAACTCTCCTGGCGCAAATCCAGTGTTCAGATGTCCAGTTCCTCAACAGTGTTTTAGAGTCGCTGTTGATCGCAGGTCCAGGCCCCAATCTATTGAGTTGGTTTCTCCCGTTTAACCGTCCCTTGGCACTCTTGATCCTCCAGCAAGATCCAAAACCATGTTCCAATGATGTCAGTCGTCGATACCAACAGAGATAGGGGTGTCCCTTATCTAGGAGAAGTCGATATCGAGTCTCCAGTGCGCGCCAAACCGAATATGCCTTTTAGTTTACATTCCCTTTGGGTATTTTGCATAGGATTGGATAGATCCTAGCGAGAAACGGGCTCTGCGAACTTTTCCTAGTCAAGATTTTAGAATCACTGAGCGCGATTTGATAGATTTTGACTGGTTCTTTGTCAGATAACTCCCTAGTCGACCATTCGGGACTCATGTCAACTCTGAGACATGCGCTGAGCAACAAAATCGACAAAAATAGTCATTTCCTAGTCTGTCCCAGACTGCGGCTTATCAGCAGATCAGACCTTTTGCAATGTGTTCTCGTCAAATTTGTTCGTCAATCTGATGAAGTATCAACCGTCAAAGCAGTTAAGTTGAAGTATATAATACCTGTGCTTTTTTTTTTCGAAATTGATCCAATCAACGGTCCGGAGCACTATCAGGACAAAGCTGAAGGCCCTCATGCAAGGGCCCCAAGGGCCCCTGCACCCTTGGTAGATCACTGAATAAGGCTGGAGTGGGGAGTTGGTAGTAGGAGCTACACAGAGTAGCTTAAGCTTGTTCAATCTGGTGCTGAGCAAGTAAATATATTTTGTGTCCATTATGTCCAGAAACCAATTTTAATAGCAAATACTGAGGACTGAAGTTTTTTTATGTTGCAAGTGTGTACATGTCACACTATCCATGTCACACTGACCTGTATATGCATGTGCAGAAATGAGATAAATGACTTGATGTTGGGGCTACATAATATTTTCAGCTCTCATTGCATAGATGCTCAGATCTGAGATATTGAAATCTAATTCAAAACTTGAATATTATGGCATTATCAGCCCATAATATGAAAATATTTGAGATACATGAATAAATGCACCTGCAAGGCTACTACCTATTAAGCACTAGGTGACTTTCTGTAAGGTGGATAAAATAAAGAAATAATTTCCAGTCATACCAAATGATGTCAGCTAGATAATTGATAAACAGAATGTTTTCTCTGGTTTCCTGTAAAGCAAAATTATAATAAATTCAGATCTGGATCACTTTACCATTGCCACAGTTTACATAATGCATCAACAGCTACCATGAATGCATAGAGTGGGAATTAAAGTTATTACAAGTGTATTAACTGCCTATTGATGCTGCCGCAGCTTGTCGTCAAGCAATACATGATGGTATGATGCTCCGTGAGAGTGATCATAGTTGATTGTAATTGTTCCAGAACATTATAGCTGATTGCAGAAGTTTGTGTAGGTATGGAGCTTTGTTTATTGTTTGCAAGTGTTGTTGTGCTGTAAGAGTTGACACTGGTACAAGAGCATTTGGTGGAGCCTTGTGACCATATATGGAATTTTTTAAGAGAACCTAGAGCCTGCACTGTGTGAGTTTGGGAATAAATAGCTCACATTTTGATTGATTATACATCTAAAATGAATGTACAAAAAAAAAGAAGAAAAGAAAAAACTCTTTTTATGCACCAAAAAATATTCACTTATATGATACATATCAGGGCCCTAGATCATATAAGTGAATATTTTTGGGCACAAATAGAGATAGAAAAAAAAAACTTTTTTTTAGCACATTGATTTTAGGCATATAATAGAAAGTTTGCACTGAGCCATCAGGTGGCTGTGGTGAGGCTCATTAATTCCTGATTTGTTCCATGCTTTCTAGGTAGAATGAAATGAATTTTCGAGAGATTATATATATCACAGAGGACCACAATTCGGGCCTAATGAATAGATAACGCCTCCTTGCACGGAGAAAGGTAGTTCTTTAGACGATCTAAGCAATAGAGTACATGGTACGCTATCGCACATTATATACGTGGGCCCGCAAAGGGGGTGATCGGACACCCTGGCCTCTCCTGCTCCTCCTCGCTCCCGTTCCTGGCCGCAGAGGGGACGATCGTACATCCCTTGCAGGCCAGGCGCTACTCCTAACCTCCTAGCACTCCTCCCCAGTCCCCTTGTGTCGAGTTGGGCTCGGCGACGGCTCGACGCGTCGTTCTCAGTCACGTGCTTCCCATGTGTGCGTTCCTCCTACTGGGGCGCATGTTCCCCGTCGTCACGTGCTGCGTGCTATGGGCCCGCAATGGCCCGACACCAGCGCCGGAGCGGATGGGCCGGGTCTTATCCATGACAGCACGCCAGCAAATAGCCTCTGGTGTCGCTCCTCCAGACGTGCGATTTCCAAAGGACATTGGTCCGCTGCGCAATGCTGTTGTCCATCCACTCGTGAAGCTTTACAACTTCCTTCAGTCACACGAGGGCCGTCGGCTTGTCCGCCAAAGCTTCGAGAAGTGCCGAATTCCTGATTCCCCATGGTCTCTTTCCGAAGCCTGCTTGTACGGGAATGCAAGCGAGATGGCTCTGTTGGGATACCTTGGCTCGGACCCCACGCTTGCAAAGGAGATCACTGACCGTTGCGGCGCTGTGAAACTCGCATCAATCCTGGAAAACCCAGGCCTTGAGAAGGTCGATGAAGCAAATATTGATGGGTTTGCGTTGGACGACACAGACATTTCGCTGGAGGATGTGATCAACATTGCTTTTAATGGAGACGATGAGTTTGTGGAGGGACTGGAGACACACAGTGAGCTTGAAGATGTAAATTATATGGTGACAGATGATTAAATACATGTTTTTTTTCTCAATTTTTAGTGTATTTTATAATATGCTTCATTGCTCAAAATAATGTATTTTTTCGTTTGGTACAAAACCTGAAACAGTATGACCATTGACCGTGATGCGTTTCACGATGCTGCAACGAAACACCCCAGCCGTTCTGCGTGATGTTTCACTCCTACAAACAGCTACTGTGACGGGTATATCTCCAGCTGACGATTCAGAATCGCTCTATCAGATACGGATAATCATTTGATCTCAAGTAGTCACATTAGTCACTAGTCATGTAACGTACACGTGGCTACAGTCAAGTCCTTCTTCCTCTTGTGTCTCATCTTCATCTCGTCTTTCCTCTCCTCGTGGACCCGTCCCGACCGCCTGAGTACGCCTTACTGCTCCCTCCCGCCGTAGGTTACGGGTCATCCGTCGGGCAGCCATTGGATTCCAATGGCTGTCCGACCCCCTTATTGACACATTTCCTCTTCGCTTCCGCCCAGCGTAAGCTCCTCGAACGACAGTGTCACAGCTACAGTATTCTGGCAGCTAACTCTATAGTTGTTGAGATTCATCAGCCACCTGGTAGCTATGGTAGCTTGGCACAACCAGGCTAATCAATTGAAATGGGTGCTATTTACTCTTGAACTCTCACAGTGATACTCTATGACCCACACAAACTTCTGCAATCAGCTGTAAGTTTTCATGATAGAGGCAATAAACCAGTTTATTTAGCAGGGTCCTGACCCTCTAAAAAAAATTGAAAATTGTGGCAGGCCCAAATGGGGATTTCAGTCTGATAGGGTCCTAATGGGACTGCCGGCATCTCGGCAAAGCAGTTTGATGTGAAAACAATTCCTTTTATCTCACCTGTATATAGGGTCTTTTTTTTAAAAAAAAAGCCTCATAGTTAACATTTTTTTTTTTAAATGCCTCTAATTTATTGCCCCAGCCAAAAGGCGGGTTTTATATAGGGAAATGAGAGATAAAAAAAAGGTTTAAACAGTTGAAAGACCATGTCAGGGTGGGCAGTGTGGTAGCTATAAGGCCCCATACCTGTCGTGTGGAAAAGTCCTTAGGTATGGGGAAATTACTGAGTAGAGAAAAGGTAATAAAAGACAAAAAAAATGTTGATGCCAAGGTGCCAAGAAAGATACGGAGTTTGACAGCATGGATTTTATTAAAATGAGGGGAAAACTTGTAAATCACTGATGTTTCTTAAAAATGTTAATATGCTAATTACAAGGGATCTTTTTTTTAAAAAAAATGTTGTATATGTCGTTTATCTTATGGGAAGTCATGTATTCTGTATGCTCTCAGGCTGCAAAGCAAGGTCCTTGGCTATGGCGGTCACACTGGAGACCCCTTGTTATCATCTGATTCTTGAATACCTTGATTGCAATGACAATTGCATATAGTCATAGCGTCACGGATAAGACCTGGCCCGTCCCCTCCAATGCTAGTGTTGGGGTTCCGACTCCGGTCCGGCCCTCCATCTCCCCTGCACAATCACCGATCTGTCAACGCCCTCCCGACGGTCGCCCTGGGACCTGGCCTGCAACGCCGCCCAAGCCTTCTGTGCTCGACAGCGGCAGCTACAGACAAGCAGTATATAGTCTCAGCTCCCTAGCAGGCGGACCCTTAGAGTTTCTTCTCTTTGGATCCTCCCCTGCTAGGTCAGCTTTATTTGTATTCGCTTACCAATGTTCACGCTTTGGATCCTCCCCTGCTAGGACCTTGATCTCAGGCCTCCGGTGTTGTGCCTCTAGCGGCACTGACCGCGGAAACCGCCATCCCGGGGCGGATCAAATCATTCACAAATCCAAGCTACGTCCAGCATCCCGCCCCATCACCGGCATCAAACGCATCTCGGCGTTTTACGGCGACACGACGCCCGCCTCCCGGACGCATCGGGGGCGGTCCTGGAACGGCCTTCGACTGCGCTATTTGTGCCTATCTTGTAGTATAAAACCTGTAACTATTTTCTTGCAACTCAGATCATTCTCCCCGCAGTTTCTATTTAGTTTCTGTGTGCTCTCGCGCCCGTATCTACCTCGTCTTTGCCCGCGCTTAGTCAGCCTCTGTCCCCGCCCTCACCGCGTGCCGGTCCGAACCTTCGTCGGAACCCTCGCACTTTCTTTTGTTTGTGTCAGCTGCCAAGCCCGACGCAAGCACATCATATTTTGGAGCCCACCGCGAGGGTCTCCTTAGCACCATTGATTCGTACTCGGCACGCAACCTTCGCAAACAACGAGCTCCGAACTCTCCGCCTTGAGTTGATTCGCACTGGTCAAAATCCAAACAACCTTACCGACACCTCGACACATAGTCAAAACTCGAGTCCCGACGAGTTCTTGGTCCCTGTCCCCGTCTCCATCGCCCAGCACTCATACCTTCCCCCACTCTCGCCCTCTGATCCCTACTTCGCTTATTTCTTGCCGCTCCCGCCCTCGCGCCCGACATCTCCGACCATGGCAACAATTCCCATGCCCGCCCGAGGCGACCGAAACGCCCCCCGCTTTGACTCCGCCAAACCGCGTGAGTTGCTCCGATACTTCTCGGACCTTGAGTTCCACTTTACCCGCGCTGCTGTGACCGACCGCGCCCGAGAAGAAGCAGCATGCGACGCGCTTCTTGAGTGTCGACGACCAAGATCTGTGGGAGTCTCTGACTGAGTTCAACGACGCTGCCAAAACCTATGAGGACTTCAAAGCCTCTGTCGTGAAGCTATACCCCGGAAGTGACACTGACCGCAAGTTTGCGATGAGTGATCTTGATGCACTTATCGGCGAAACCGGCCGCATGGGCATCCTGTCTCGCGCCGATTATGGCGAGTTCTATCGCAAATTTGTCCTGATCACCGCCCACCTTATTACCAAAAACCGCCTCTCGTCTGCCGAGCAAAGCCGAGCGTTCCGTCGCGCAATATCGCCTGCCTCGCTTTGGGAGCTAGCACACCGCCGACTTCAGATCAAGAAGCCGGATGTCCATCCTGACGATCCATATGACCTGGTCGATATGAACGAGGCCATGGAGTTTGTACTCGCCGGCTCCAACGCCGACCTTAGCGCATCTGCTTCGCATCCCACATCTGCCGAATCACCTTCATCAACCGCGGCCATCGTTAAGCAAGAGCCGGGAGTAGCTGCCATCTTGGACAGCATCAACGGCTTAATTAAAGTGCTTACCACGCAACAACAGCTTGCCGTTGCTGCGCCACCACGTCCCAATCTGGCAGTCCCCCGCTCCTCGCCCGGTCTGTGCAATATGTGCGGAGAATCTGGTCATTATATTGGTACCTGCCCCACGGTCGAAGAATACGCAAAACAAGGCAAATGCAAGCGCGACGTTAACGGCCGCGTCACACACTGCCTAGCGGTGCCTTTGTTCCGTCCCGCATCCTCGGCGCCAACCTGCGCGACCGAATCGATGAATACCATCGACAGAACCCCGGCCAGCTCGCGGCCGGCCAGCTCATGCTTGATTTAGCACCAAGAACCGCTCCTGTTGCCGTTCCTGCCCAACCGGTCGCCCCGGCCTTCGTGCTGTCCGAAGCCGACCGGATCGAGAGTCTCGAGCGAGAACTCTTTGCGCTGAAGACTCGCGCACAAGCCCGCGCCGCCATCGCCGCTGGAGAGCCGGTCGAAAGGCCTGAACAGCCTATTCGTGCTCAGTCTGTGCCAAGCCAGCCACCCGTTCCTCCGCCCGCCGAGAACCCGCCTGTCCCACGCATCCTACCTCGCCCAGTCGTGGCCCCTGTCGTCGCTCAGCCTGAGCATCCGTTTGCCAAGGCCCGCGATGCTGTGTATGCACCGCCCGCGTGACCGTAATATCGGTGCTCGCGCTCCCGTTCCAGCTGCTGCAAAGAAGCCCGAAGTCGCTTATCGAACAACGGCGCCGGTCTATGATGATAAGATTGCAAGTCAGGTATTTGGGCGTTCGATGGACGCACCTATTACGTTGACGCAGCGCGAGCTGCTTTCGCTTTCACCTGAAGTCCGTGCCCAAGTTCGAGACGCAACAACGAGCCGCCGCGTGGTGCCCAACGCCAACGACAAAGCTGCCGCGGCCGCCAAACCAGTGCAGCAGCTATTTGCTGACGACCTACCCGCAAGCAACGCGCTACTCGACACATTAGAAGAGCAGAAAAGAAGGGACTCACAAAACACTGCCTTTTTCGACTCCATGCCCGCCACGTTTGTCCAGTCGGCTCAGCGCGAGCTTCCACCCAATGCCTTCGTCGTTCCGGACCCCTTCGAGACATTCTACGCCGCCGGTGAGATGCCCAAAGACCTTGTCGTCTCCCTCGAGTCGTCCGCAATCCGCTCTATACTCCCCATAGTCGATAATCGACTCCGCATCGAGTCCATCTTGGATGGCGGCTCGCAGATTATCGCTATGTCCGACGCGGTTTGTCATGAACTGGGCCTTGTTTACGACCCCACCATTGTACTTCAGATGCAGTCTGCTAATGGCTCAGTCAATCCATCACTCGGACTTGCGCGCAACGTACCCTTTGGGATCGGCGACATCACCCTATACCTCCAGGTCCATATTGTCAATAATCCGCCCTACGATATCCTTCTCGGTCGTCCCTTCTACGTTCTGACTGAAAGCGTCATCAGAAACTTCTCAGACGAGAAGCAGACCGTCACCATTTGCGATCCGAACACCAGCAAAGTCGCAACCGTTCCGACTATCCCACGTGGTCGCCCTCGCTCGCGCCCTCAAAATTTTTAGATCTCGATGATTTGATTCAAGATCAAGGAGACATCGCACTTACCATCGTTCCCGACCCATCCAATCCCGACTCATTCATCATCATCGAATCCTACGCGCCGCTTCCATCGCAATATTCCCTTTCGGACCTCCAACACACCTATTTGTCTGCCTGTACTAATTTAGAATCAGATTCTGACACCGTGCTGTTTGCACATACCGTCGTTCAACCGGCGTACAACGCGACACCAATGCGGGATTCAACTCCCGCCAATATATCGCTTTCCGCCTTGTATTCTGCCTCGTCACCATCGTCCCACGTCGCCAACTCGTCCCATGTCGAAACCTACGCTGCAAAGAAAAAGTATAAACCAGTTGCCCAAAAGGTAAAGCCTGTTTTGGGCACACTACCTGAAAAATTCCGAATCGTCCGCCATATTGATGGCGACCCGCTTGCCGACATGCCTCGTTTGAACCCGAACCCACCCCCCGTTTGTTCCCACTGCCCGCTATACCGCCGAGCGCCGCGAGATCATCGACAACGCCCATCCTGGGAACTTCATGCGCCCAGCCGAACGCGACTTGATGCACCACTTCATGACCGAGCAGTGCGACGCCTTCGCTTGGAATGACAGCGAGCGGGGTAAGTTTCGCCCCGACTTCTTCCCTCCTATCGACATGCCCGTCGTCCCACATACGCCATGGGTCCAGCGAAACATCCCCATTCCGCCAGGCATCTACGAGGAAGTCTGTAAAGTCATCAAAACAAAAATCAAAGCTGGCGTTTATGAGCCGTCGAACTCGTCTTACCGGTCGCGCTGGTTTTGTGTTGTCAAGAAAGACGGCACAAGTCTCCGCCTCGTTCACAGCCTCGAGCCCCTCAACGCGGTCACCATCGCCCATTCCGGCGTCCCGCCGTTCACCGAGCAAGTAGCCGAACATTTCGCGGGCCGTGCTTGCGGCGGCATGCTCGATTTATATGTCGGATATGACGAACGCTTGCTCGCGGAGTCGTCGCGTGATTACACAACGTTCCAGACCCCGTTCGGGGCTCTTCGTCTTGTTACTCTGCCAATGGGTTGGACCAATTCCGTTCCTATATTTCATGATGATGTCACCTTTATCCTTCAGCCCGAAATCCCAAAGTATACCATTCCCTACATTGACGATGTCCCCGCTCGCGGTCCCGCTTCCCGCTACGAGTTACCAGGCGGCGGCTACGAGACGATTCCCGAGAACCCGGGCATTCGCCGCTTCGTTTGGGAGCACTTTGAAGGGTTAAACCGAATTGTCCAGCGGATGAAGTATGCAGGCGGGACCTTCTCTGGCCACAAAACCATTCTCTGCGCCGAGCGCATCACCGTCCTCGGCCATGTCTGCACTTACGAAGGCCGAATCCCCGACGAATCCCGTGTCGCCAAGATTGCCAACTGGGGCCCGTGTCGAGACCTGTCTGACGTACGCGCATTTCTCGGTACCATCGGTGTTGTACGGATGTTCATCCGCAACTTCTCCCAACGCGCAAGCGCACTGATTTCCCTCACGAAGAAAGACATGCCGTTCGTCTTTGGAGAAGATCAGATCAGAGCTCAAGAGGACTTGAAGCACGCACTTATTAATTGCCCCGCACTACGGCCCATCGACTACACCAGTGACTCACCCGTTATCCTTTCTGTCGACACATCCTATATTGCCGTCGGTTTCTTGCTGTCTCAATGCGACCCCGCTAACCTCGTGCGTCGATTCTATGCACGCTTCGGCTCCATCACGCTCAATGAACGTGAGTCACGCTTCTCGCAACCGAAACTCGAGTTGTACGGCGTTTTCCGAGCTCTTCGTGCCTGGAAGGTCCATCTAATCGGTTTGAGAAATGTTGTTGTGGAAGTAGACGCACGATATATAAAGGGAATGCTTGCCAACCCAGATTTGGCCCCCAGCACGAGTATAAACCGTTGGATTCTTGCGATTTTGACATTCCAGTTCACCCTCGTTCATGTCCCTGGCGTTTCCCACAGGCCCGATGGCCTCTCTCGCCCGACCCGCGCAAGTTGGTGACGAACCGGAGCCCGAAGACGACTTCGAAGACTGGATTGATCAGGTTCATGGATTTATGCATATGATCAACGACTCACCGTTTGTCCGTCGCCCGCAATACACCATCGCCACTTACTCCGAGGAGCTCGTGCTCGCCGACCAACCGCCTCCCGAATCCCTCTCATATGATCTCGTCCCACATTCTGAAACCGCTCGACTTGCTGACTTGCGCGTGGATCTTGTGCGTATCTGGCACGAGAAGCTGGAACGACCACAAGATATGACTGATAAGGAGTATGAGTCCTTCGTTCGCTATTGTCTGGAGTTTTACCTCGCGGATGGTAAGTTGTGGCGCAAAGATGCCCAAAATCGACCCCAACTCGTCGTGCTTCCGCACCGGCGGCTCTTCGTTCTGCGCTCCGCACACGACGACCTTGGCCATAAAGGCTTTTACGCGACCCGCGCACTGATCTCCGAGCGGTTTTGGTGGCCCAAGATGGCCGACGACATCCAATGGTTTGTGTTATATCCGTGCCGACTCCGGCATCCGTCTCCGATATCCGTCTCCGGTATTTGGTTTTTACGCAATGAAGATTTACTGAGCGTTTCCAATTACTCCGACTTATGATCTATGCAATCATCTATGCCTTGTTCCTCGTATGCAACTCCTCTTCTACTTTACTTGACCTTGTTCTAATCTTGTTACTTACTTTGTTATACCTTATTCCGTTTCCGTTACTTCTCGTACTATAAATACTTTGATGTATTATCACGTACTTCAGTTTGTAAATTAACGTTGCTGGTCTCTATCTCCCAGCGTCGTCTCGACTCCGCTCTTCCCTTCTTGTCTTGTCTTGGTCAACTGGAAGCCCCGGTCACCCAAACATCCTTCTGTGGTGTTCCGCCCCAAGTGCTCTACGACTTCGATCCCGTTTCCGACTTCGACTCCGTCTCCGTCTCCGTCTCCGTCTCCGTCTCCGTCTCCGTCCCTCTGGTCGACACGGCACTTAACAGTATTTACAAACTCACTTCCTTTTGACCATGTCAAACGTACGCCTCTCTTCTGGCAACATAGACCCCGCCAATACTGGTCAACGGCGTTCATCCCACTTCTACGAACAAATGGTTCCTCTCACTTCGCCTATGGCGAACTTCACCTACAACGCTGGCGCTCCTGTCACTTCGGTTCCTGTTCCCGTTCCTCGGACACCTACTGGCACGACCAACCCTTTCCGGCCTGGTTTTGTCATGTCTCCGCAGGATCCTGATCCAAGTACTATCCCTATGCCAACGACTCCGCATCCAAACACGGGTCGTTTTTCTAACGTCAGTTCCCCTCCCGTCTCTCCTACTTTACGTTACCGACCCCTCACTCCCACACGCCTTCACGACATCGAAGAAGAAAGCGAGCCAGTCCCGATGTATCGGCACGCTTTTAGCAGGCCCATGAGCCCTGCTCAAGGTCGCTCCGGAAACGGAAATGATTCCGGTCAAGGTCAACCAAACCGCAACCCCTCTCCGACTTTTAGCGGCAAGCCGAGTCCATTCTTGACTTCGCCCTCTGGCTCCCCTCCTGGCTCTCCCAGAGGCGGACCTCCTGGTGGTGGTGGACCTGGCGGACCTGGTGGTGGTGGACCTGGTGGTCCTGGTGGCGGCCCTGGTGGATCTGGAAATCCATTCTGGGGTCCCCCTAGAGGTGGTGGTGGCGGAGGAGGTGGAGGTGGAGGTGGTGGGCCACCTGGTGGAGGTGGTGGTGCCGGAGTCCCTCGAGCTGGCTCTCCGGGCCGTGATCTTCAACGCGCTATGATTGGCGCTCTCCAAAATTTCCAACATTTCCTCACCAACTTTCCTCAGCGCAACAATACTGCGCCCCGTTCCAATCGGAGTCTTCTCCGGGCACCGGACACGTTCGACGGTTCCGATCCCGGGCTTCGTCCCTTTCCTCACCCAGTGCTATATGCACTTTGCCGAGCGTGAGCAAGATTTCTCTACTGATGACGAGAAAATAATCTACATCACCTCGTATCTGCGCGGAAACGCATTGGCGTATTTTACGCCTAACCTGTATGCCATGAATCAGGGCCAGGCTATTGCGATTCCGGCTTGGGACGGCAATTTTCCTTTGTTCATCAAGGAACTCCAGGACAACTTTGGTCCTCAGGACCCGGTTGGCGACGGGAGGACAAAATCCGAAATGTGACGATGAAGTCCGGTGATAAGATCACCACTTACATTATCCAATTCGACACCCTCGCTCTCATCACCAATTGGGGTGATTCCGCTCTCCGACATACCTTCTATTCCGGTCTTCCTAAACGTATCAAGGACGACATGATGCACTACGTCTACGCTAATACGCTGGACGGAGTCAAGCAAACTGCCCGTCTCATCGACGGCAAGTATTGGAAGCGTGAAGCGGAGAAGCAGAGGGAGCGGGAGTTAAGAGACTCTCATGGTGGTGGATCTGGTTCTGGTTTGGGCTCTGGCCATTCCGGTGGCCATTCCGGTGGCTCGAATTCTGGGTCTGGGGGTTCTAAAAAAGGACTCCTCTTCGAAAAAATCGTCTGGTTCTTCTGGCTCATCTGGCAACAACTCCGGAAACGGAAACGTCTCCAGGTGGTAATTCAATTCTGGCAACAAGGGCTCCAACAGCTCTCAGCAACAGGCTTCCTCGTCGTCTTCCAACAATAACGACAAGACGAAGACAGCCAAAGCGCACGCTTCCCTTCTTGGTCCTGATGGGAAGTTGAAGCCAGAAATACGCGAGTTCAGAATCAAGAACAAGCTTTGCCTCTTCTGTGGCAAGTCTGGGCATATGGCCAACGAGTGTCGAAAGAAGAAGGCTATGTTGGACGACGCGCCCACTACCATCACTCCGGTGGCTGCGTCTCCGGCGGGTCGCCACTCCGGTCGACAACACTGAGTCAAAAAAATAGTCAGCGACTCGGTCCCTCTTGCAGCCGAACCGAGCCGCGTTGACTCCAGGTTGCTACCGGAGGTGC